CTTCACCCTCACATGCTTTTGTTGACTGTTTTGGCTGTCAAGATACGATAGGAATAGGGACGAGTTAAGGCAAGACTCGCCACTTTGCCGAAACCTTTTCACCAGGCGAAAAGGCACCCAAATATTCAACCAAGGCATTACAAGCAACCTACTCTTCCTGGTATCCATGGAATCTGGCGCCGATGATAACAAATCAGTTCTTTTCTCCTCAAAATGATACTCGTCAGGTGGTGGAAGGACCTCTTCATGGTAATGGTATTCATTCTTTGGAGGTGGTACGGAGTATGGCTGCCTACGAACTTCTTCAATAGTTAGTTCCTCTTGTGTGATTCGCTGTTTAGGCTCCAGAGGCCTAAGGGGTGGCGCCTCTTCAGCAGGAGGGGGAGTCTCTTTCATTACCATTCGCTCTTCAATTATTTTTCTCTGCGGCGGAGCAGGGGCTGGCTCTTTTCGTGAGGTGGTGTATCTAACATTTGAAAAGATGACAAAAACCTTTAATGACTGTTAAAAAATGAGTACTGAAAATATTACTAAAACTTCTACATTCGCTATTATTAGAATCTTCAAACTCTAAGTTCCCAACAGAATATAACCCTAGAACCAATGTATTTCATCTACTCGCGTTCTGTAATGTCGCACACAAGACTGAATTAAATGTGGCTTAATATGGTTTGGTATCATTTGCAAATAGCAATCATGCACCTTCAAAATGAGACACTATGACTGGTTTCTAGTAGAAACGTATTTGAACAAAGAACCACTATGCTTGAACACACCAGTAGATTTTGCATTTGGCTTCTCTTCTAAAAACATTTAACACCCCTACTTAAGAGTAAAACAAACATTTTGGCACTACGCTACGAGAAGCTCTCCCCCTTTTTTGCTTAACAGACATCAGGGTATCACAAATGCCCCATTGAATTTGCTCTTAGTAGACTACTTGCACTCTATTTAGACACTGATTGAGAGAGGGAGGGGAGGATAAAAAGAGTGTACTGTCGGCCTCAGGTTTGTCAGTCTAATGAGTATTGTTACAAGTTACCGAAGTAAAGGAAGGACCCTTGACCTTTTATGTTTTCACCACTCACCTATACTCCTCTTGAATGACAGTCTTCTTTGAAGGAGATGTAGTGTAGCGCACTTCCTCAATCACTGACTTCTGAGGAGGTGAAACAGTGGTGTACCTCAATTCCTCTGTTATCACCTTCTTTGTGGGTGTACTGTACCGGCTTTCTTCCACGACAGGTTTCTTAGCAACTGGTAGTGGAACGTTCCGACTCTCTAATTTAGTTGTTGTCTCAGTGGTAGTTGTGGTTGTGGTTTTGGATGGGGATCTTGTGCCAGATGAAACAGGGACACCTACATACAAAGAGGAACAGTGGTAAATACGCACATGCAGCCCATTCACTCTAAATTTCGACGGTTTAAACTAGGATATACCACCAATCAGCCTCGTTTCCAGGCGCGGCCGCCTAGCTGTTCATTTCGGAGTGAACTAAGATGGATGTTATCTAGTTTTTGAGGAGAACCTGAAGAAAAAAACAGCTGTTTATATCCTGAAACCTTGCCGAAAAATAGGTCAAAGTTTTGAAGAAAGTCTACGAGAACGTATTTTCACTTTGGTAATTATTTTTTTAATTCTCATATCCTGGCCTCTTGACAATATGTGGATATTGTTGGAAGAAAATAGATGCTAGTCACTACTGGGACTTAAAGGGTTGAGGCTCTTTGAATCCTTTGTACTGTTTAACTGAACTTTACAACGCCGATGATGTAATTTCGTTTCCCAGCAACACATACCTGGTAGCAGGTCTCTTTCTATTTTTTTATCATCTTCGTTTCTGGCAAGCCATCGGTGACAAGGGAAGACAAAATGTTGATTGTGTGCTGGTACATCTACAGCAACTTCCTCAAGAAACCATCCTGGGGCAGAGCCATTATTGTCATGTCCGATACGAAGCTTCTGGACCTGTATGGTTAGAAAAGTAAGATTGTGTTACGATGAACTACAGCATGTAACTGCTCTTTATGTAACTGTTAGACTATCGTCAATATTGTACCTTTTAGAATCATTATCTGTAAACAATATCGTATCATGATGTAAATAGTTTAAATTCAATTCATTTCTTTTTGTTTGTTTTTAACCTCGACTCATTAGCTATTTAAGCTAGGAGCCTAATAAGCTCCAGACCCTCGAGTATAAATAAAGTTTTCAGTTTCAGTTTCAGTACAGCAAGGCCGGCACCACTGAGCTTTATTCTTCACGTTAACAAGGCCTTTATCCTAAGCTAGGGGTGCTTACCACCATGCGGTTTAAAATATCGTGCATTAACATGAAATTATTAATTTTGACGTGGTGGGAAAACGATCCACCGCTACGAAGTATATCAAAATCAGCTGGACAGGATTGAAAGAGTACAAAAATTCTATCGCCTCATATCACCGCCCATATTTTTGAAGTTTTCTAAACGGGAATTCTGCTTTCCAACATAATGGGCAAATACCCTATTTCTTGCGCTGGCTCAAAATTTAACAGTAAGCCAGCTTCACTTGGAAGACAAAAGCTAGGTGAAGATTCTGTCTGTTTTGGGTTGGTGGTGGGCTAAAAAGTGCATAATGGATTGTTGGAGTATTGTGCGATATCCAGCAGATCGGAAGTCAGAACTAAATTCTCCCGCTTATTCCATATTTTACAGGGACTTAGTACAACACTACCACTTCAGTTCGATCTAGTCTTCAAAATAATTATAGCCTCAACAATTTGAGGAGGCATGCGTCTGACTCCCCAGCGGGGTCCCGGGTTCGAGTCCCCTTGTTGGATTGTTCTCGGTCGTTCCGAGTTCAAAACCTCGGCCACACTTGTAAACAGCCAACTGTTTGTCTCCTGCCAACTGGGGCTTTAATCCTGTTGTTCTATTTGCATTATTTAGTAGAGGCCTGTAAACTTGCTGGAAAAACTAAGTCCGCTTCCACTTTAAACAACCCTTTAAACCTTTTTAACCGTTTGTCATGACTCAGGGGAGGTCGTATTTACGAGGTTCCGCCTGACAAACTGCAAATTAAATTCAATTAAGTCAAATAACATGTTTCAACTCATTTAGGGCCTGTTTACATAGAGGTGGGGGACCCCAGGTAGGTGGGGGACCCCAGGTAGGTGAGGTACCCCGCTTAGGTGGGGTAACCCGCCTGTTCATATAATCTCTCATAGTAATTTGATCATATTTACATGATAGGTGGGGTGACCCGCCGCATGTTACCTCGCCTATCTGGGGTCCCCCACCTCCATGCAAACAGGCGCTTAGAAAGTGAGTACGAATTCTCCTTAGCACATTTTCTCATTTTAACTCAAGAATCTTTTTGTAGATAAACTACTCCAAAGGCAGTTGTAACGATTAACTTGTCAATCTAAGCTCAAGATAAAAACCTCAAAAATTGATAAATGCAATTAAAAAAAAAAAAAAATGAGACAAACGTACCGTGCCAACATCAACAGTTTCCACAATAAATTTATCAAGTCTGCCTTTCTCGAATCTTTTTTCAGCTTTACCGCCCTGTCTCAGCTGAATCTTCTCCGTTTCCCCTTCACTGCCAATCAGCTGGAAATACACATTAGCATCTGTGCCAGCTGTAAACATCTCACCCGTTTTCACTGCTAAATGATAAGAAGTATCTGCATACAAAAAATATATAATAAAACATTTAATACAATGACTATTGAAAACTTTGGTGTAAAAGTATGTCTTTCAGAAGTCGAAACAAAGCATTAGTGCGTGCTGTGGAGTGTTGTATCAAGGTTTAAGCCAGTTAGGCATCAGAAGGTGGTATGTGTATGCATGCGTAGTTTTTAATTTTCTTGGTTTCAGAACTGCTGGCTTAAGAGTTGAAGTGGAAGCCGCGTCCATTTTCATTTCCTACACTAGTACATCGTTAAATCCCTTATGTCTCGCATCCAGTTGTTTCCTATGACAAGGACCTTTACTCCGCAAAAACCCTATTTCCTTTCACTGGGTAACCCAAAGCTTTATATTTTTGCCTTGTTCATGAATAAATGTTTTATTACCGGCGGACCTTGCAAAAGAGGGAGGAAATTAAGTTCTCTCACAAAGAACGAAACCTAAACACACAGAAGAACCAAATGTGAATGAATGTCAATCAGAAGAGTCTTAGTCAACCATACTTGCTCCGACTACTACTTCAAGACTTACTGAATCCCCACATGGAAGGGCGCAGTTAATGAAATGTCTCACGAAATTGCTTTTCAAAGTTCATTTCGTTGTTTGGTTTGTAACATACTGATTAGGAGGCATATTAATATTTTGCTGAACAAGAGGATCTAATTCTGCCATTTTCATGCGATATCTGCGCTCATATTAAGGTCCCTTGCAAAACACCTATTGACAAATATACACAATATTGACAAAACGAACTAGCCAGGCGTGGCACAGCCCTTCTAAAATCCCCACTACACTAACTTGGGCGTGGTGGTCTTGGTTGTCCTGGGAGAATCTCTCTCTCCATTTTACTGTCTCCTCTTCCTTCAGCAAGCCAGCAGTAGCAAGGGAAAATGGTGCGATCTTGTTCAGCAGGAGCTACTTCTACCTCTTCTACAAATATACCCTTTCCATCACCCTTGCTGTCATGGCCAATGCGCAGTCTGTCAATCTAAAACATAACAACAAAACATCGCCATTATTATTAGTTGAATAAAATGGGATACGAAAAGTACTGAAACGAATCATCAGGTAAGTTAATTTTGTCAGACTAACAGATCTACAGTTAAGGGAGAGATGATCGATATAAGACTAGCATTTAATTCAAACCATGATATTCATACTTAAAAGTATTTTGAAAATGCAGAATTTACTTTTTGCCCCTCAAATGCCTATTAAAGCAATGGCAAGGATCAAAATGAAGTTTGACAAAAACTGTATAACTGAGAGACTTTAAATTCCTGGTAGACTTGTAGCAGGTCTACCTCTTGGCGAGCGGAGCGAGCCTTGTTTGGCCGCGAAGCGGCCGACCGCGAGCGACGAAGTCGCGACAGGTCCCCTTGAAATGTCCGCTTTTTGAATCTTTCGTCCCGCGCCATATGAAATCCGACGAAGGACGTTTTTGAAAGTCTAAATTCCTGGCTGACTGTCTGATTGACTGAAGTGGTTAGTTTGAAAAGAAACTGTAGTGTGTGTCAATTTGCTCTGAAGAAGGGCTACCCCTTGAAATGTCAGCTTTTTGAATCTTTTAACAATGGCAAATTAACTTGACAACCTTAGTAAAACCAAATATTTGCAACCAGACAGATCAAGTGATTTAGAACTGAGATGCTCACCTAACTGCTGACTGATTGGTCAGTGACCAACTTACTCTTTCTAACTGTGTAACTGACTGGCTGATAGACTGGCAGACCAACTGACTGACTGACTGCATAACTGTCTTTTTAATTGACTGACCGCCTGCATAACTGTCTTTTGAATTGACTGACCGACCAACTTACAGTGCGACTGCCTAATAGTATGTGTGACTGACTGTTCAAACGATTGACTGGTAAATTACAATGAAGCTGGAGGGCTGAGCCATTGTCAAACTGTCCATCCTAAAGAAAGCACTACATCGCATAAACCAACATTCTATAAAGTCTTATTTCAGTACTCACCTTTCCAATATTCACAGTCTCAACAGTAAACTTGTATGTTCTGCCTTTCTCAAATTTATTAAGTGATGACCCCACAGGTCGCAGCATGATTTTGCTCGTCTCTCCTTCTTCTCCAAACAACTGAACATAAAGATTAGTGTCTGGGCTAAGAACCTCGCCTAGTTTGACTGACATTGTGTAGGACGTGTCTGAAATGAAACAATTAACATTTAATAAAAAACAAAACCTAGACAGTACTGTTAACAAAGAAATAAATAATAAATTACAATGTACAACAATGTACTGTATTTTGGCTTAAATGGCCTGTCCATGATCTTGTGCTTGTGATCCCCCCTCCACCCGTTATCAAAGTTGCTAGAAATAAAAGACCATGCTCAAAACTTGGAGGAGCAATTTTGAATGGGAGGGAGGAGGGAGGTCAGTATTGTATCTCACAGACCTGTGACTAGTAGCGATTTGAAGCAAGAAAGGTCATTTTTTTTTTCTCTGAGTGTCTCAACATTTTTGCAACTGGTTGTAGCACCACCATTGATAAGTGCATTAAAGGACTTGTTTTGTTTGATGCTAATGATGTACAGTGTTGTAGTAGCTAGACCAAAACCCTTAATCACACAAATCAAGCTATCCCTGCTGTCTATGGGTGGATACTCTATTCTGACTGAACTGTTTGAAAAAAATAATTTTTATCTGACAGAACTACTTATGGGAGTTTAAAGACAAAAGGGAGGTCATGTACACGTACAGCTTATACTTCAATTGTCGACAATGGGAATGTGTAAATATAGAGTTTTCATTAAAGTTTAAATGGTGGCTCTCTTATTTGACACAGAGAACTTTAACAGTGTTTGGGATTTAATAGCTAAATGTACATGTAAAAAGGCATAAATAACATTTGCAGTTATTTGCCTCAACATGATAAACTATGATACATGTAACACATTAAATTCATTCTCTAACAAGGGCTTCCATTTTTTATTTATTTATTATGAGCTTACTTGGTAAAGGAGTGACTGCAAACATCTCCCTCTCAATTTTACCATCATCAACATCTTGCGCAAGCCAGCAACGGCAAGGAAACTTGACTCGATCTTGGCGTGCAGGAACCTCCACTTCAACTTCCTCCACAAAAAACCCAGAGCCATAACCGGTGTGATCATGACTCAGTTTGATTCTGTCAACCTGAAAATTTGAAAGAAAAATTGAATGATGCAACAGAATCTCATTACCCCCCTCAAGGGCTTCAGAAATCTGCTTGTGTGACTGAGAGTCTTGCAAATGCATATTTGGGTCAAAGGGACATGACAGAGCAACAACAACATACATACATTGTGTACAGGTAGCTATAACAACAACTGAAAAGATAAATACAACAACAAGCTGGATATTGTACACATAACTTAAAACATAAAATTTTACTACAGAAAGGTATATTACTTTGATATATTTTTGCTATTATCAAGACACTAACATAATATAAATTATTTGACTGTAAATAAAAAATATATCAACGTAACAGTAGCTTTAAATAAAATTACACGCTATCATCTTGAATTTTAGCAGCAACATACAAAATAATAAACATTTAGTTCATTATATTTGCATTTAAGTGATAAAATAAGAAACAAATAAGTGTACCTTGCCAATGTCAACAGTGTCCACAGTAAACTTGTACGTCCTTCCTTTCTCAAACTTGTTTCTGGTGTCACCTGCCTGCCTGAGCTGAATCTTTGCTGTGTTGCCACGTTCACCAAATAGCTGGATGTAGACATTGCCATCTGTCCCTGAACCTTTAACATCGCCCACCTTTATACTGAGATTATAAGTAGCTGAAAAAATAACAATAAAGAAATGATACCTTCAAAGCTGATTAAATGCAAATGTAACGATCAAGTTAATATATTTGAAATAATTTTTCATTTTTGTTATTATCATTATGCTTTAGTGCCTCTTTGAAATTTATTTCATTGCTGTGCCTAAATATTTTGTACTTTTACTACAGTTATATACATTTACTTTGTATAATATCTACACTTAAATCTACTAATAGATTTTAAAACTAACAAGACAAATTTACTAAACTGTATATTAAAATCTTAAAGTTCAGATTTACATATGTATAAAATCAAAAAAATAGTTTAGTCCACTCAGAAAGCATGTTATTGCCACACCCGTAACCGTTTGCTACAATGGTGCACTACAAGTATACATATTATATCATCAGTTACAAAAAAATGTGATGATGTACACTTTGTACATTTAAAAGGAAGAAGAGGTTGATATTCCACTTCCAAGCTTCGACCATTTAGGTTCACCTCACAGTACATTTCACTCAGTCTGTAGATACAAATACTTCGTATTGCTATGATGTGACAAAGAAATAAAAAAGAAAGGCTTGTGATATATCCATCACTTGTTTGAATGACATTGCCCCAACCATAGTAAGAACAATAAAAATATTATACAGTGTATACCATACAGTAAATGTAATTCAATAATCAAGTGGAGACCTTAAAGGAACACCTAAAATACATACAGCATACTTTAAGTTATATGCAGGAAACTTTTAAGGTCATGCTCAGTTACATGGAGTAAAAATGAGAATTTCCTTCTCTTCTCAACAGCACCTGTCTTGTGTTAGTTCACAATTGAATTAACAGTTCCAAATTTCCACAGATGAAATTTGACAAATTTCCACACCTACATGTACATACAAGGCAGTATATTTTAACTTTCACAGCCACAAGACAACAATGTGTGTAATAAAATTAATGTCATAAGAATAAATGTAGAAAATGGCAACAATGTCAGTGGTATTTTGATTGTAGTACAAACAAAGGCAAGCAAGAATATAGTTGCAATTTAGCATTTTATAATTTTTTTTTAAAGTTTGGTGGGAAAGCTTTTAAGTTGCTGTTTTAAGATTGCGCTTCAGTGAAACAAAATGAAATATAAACACTCGAGAGATCACAAGATTAACATAACAATATAAAACCAAGTATAGACCAACATGTTGGTAGTCACATGTCTGTGTAATCCTATAAAAATTATTACTGAAAAGCACCCTGATACACCAACTGTATCTTTTACCTAAGGAACACCATAAAACATTGAAATATTAAATACCTTTTGGTTTTTCATCTGGTAAAACCAAAGGAAAAAATCTCATAAACAAAGATTGGGCATTCCACATGTCCATCTTGTACAAATTCAAATTCCAACACAATTTCCTTTTTATCATTAATTATTTAAAGAAAGTCATAGACAAGATCAAAACCTAAATACCTTTCATTTTTCTTACACCTGGTTTGGCAAAGAACTGACAATTATGGCAAGAAATGAAAGCAATACTTACATCCCACATGGGAAACATTTATTAATCATTTTATTAATCAATTTATTTGAGCATAAGGGTTTTAAACTTTTTATGTTTGATTGTAGCATATTTAACCACAGGCCTTTCATGAAATAAGCATGTCAATGGTGATCACAAAAAACCAAACACTGTTGGACACAGGTTTTTACTGTATACTGATAAATAATCAAAAACCAAAGACACTTTCAGATGAAATTACCCACAATGAATTTACAGGCACTCCACGAAATATGGTAATTTTTTTAAAATTAATTATTGTGATTGCATAATTATTCAAAATTCAGTCTTGACACTTTTAAAGAAACTGAGCAAAATCAGTAAAATGAATTTAAAGACTTAGTTTACTTAAACTGGATTTGTTTCAAGAACACTTATATAAAAAAAATGTGATGGGAAAAAGTGAAAAAAGGTACAGGTAAGTCCCAACCTTAAATTGAAAAAAAAAACAGTAATTTAATTTATTTGCACATTGTTGGGGTCAATTAAGCCTCACTGTCAAGTTTTTTACTTAAAGGATGTGGCTTCCATTAGAATCACAAGAACATGATTATAATTCAGCAGAAACAAAGAAAAAACAGATTCGCCTACAAACTGTAAAGCCTCTCCACAACAAAATCTAAAAGAAAGTGTTCATGAGTCATGACAATTAAGATTCTAAGAAAAAAACGAAATTGATGTTTAAGTGAGCAGTATGTAGTAACGTTGGAACTTACTGCTTTGCCGCCCAGATGCGCTAGATGATCGTGGAATGGTGGATGATGATGATGGTGTTCCCCCAGATAAGGATGTGCGAGGTAAAGATTGGCTTGTGTTGCGATAAGCTTTAGTACTAACAGAACTAGACTGAGATGAATGGCGTGAACCTGAAAAGAACCATTCATACACAGTACTTACGTAGGAAATAAAAATCCATTACATTTGGGATTAAAAAAATTATTAATATATACTTTATGGCAACAGATTCTGGTTGCACTGCATGTTAACTTGCATTCTATTTCACTAGTACAGCTGCAATGGACACTATCATACCGTAACATAAATGATCAGTAACTTTTTTTCAACACATAGGAATTAATTGCGAAATCATATGATTATATATGATTTGTGGTTTCAAGGTAAAAGATGACTTATCTGTTGTAACTGTTTTTTGTTAACATCCCCCTGTTACTTCTGACTAGATATCATACTGTAGGAAAGCCTCGCTTTAAAAGTTGGAACAGTGTAATAAGGGTGTCACAATATAGGATGAAATTGAAAGTGTAAGACTTTGTTACCTGTGGGTGTATGATATCCATCTGACAAGTGTCCAGATGAAACATTAGTTGGTGTCTGTCTACCATCAGAACCTGGACCACTTTGACTACCAGGACTGTATGGACGTTTGTAATCTTCAACAGAAGATTGAGATCCTGGGCCGCGTCGTCCTGATCGATACTCATCTCCAGGAATATACTGTTTTGTTACAGTTCTTGGAGCATTTCCATTGACAGCTCTGTTGTCAAATGTGTACCGTTCAACGGTTGTTTGAGCACTACCAGGGTCATATCTATCTTGCACAACTTTACCATCTACTGTCCTTAATGTGCGAACTTCTGTTCTTGTTACAACCTTCTTTACCGTTTGCCCAGGTGTCAGGTCTGTTACAAAGAAAAATATTGTTTACTCCTCAAGTAGACATGTCAATAATGCTGTAAAAACCACACTTTACATGTACTTTTAAGATAAGAACTAATAATATTATAAACTCTTCCTGAGGATCAGATTTAACTGAGTGAAAGATAAGATAAATGTACAGTGTACATGTACATGTATATATCAATAAATAGGAATATTTATCAATAATAACATAATAGGCTGAAAACTAAGAGATTAACCTACTAAATCTGTTAAATACAAACACCAATCAAATACCAGGTGAGCTTTTGAAAATAACATATTAAATTCACATGTGAAAAGATCGCTGTTGCTATGGCCAAAAACATGTAATATAAATCGCACCTTTCACAGCAAAAAAAGGTGTTTGTTAAAGTGAAGTGGTTTAGTATTTATTTGGTGTCTATATAATAAATGGAACATAACATGGAGGCTTGGAGATTAGAAATTTCTCTTAAATTCTCTTGTAAAATATTATTTTTTCAACACTTGAAGAGAAATTTTGTATCTCCACACATGCAGCCATGTAACATCCTCATGTATATATTGAATTTGCATCATGCAGCAGCACCTGCTTCCATTAGATCTTTTTCCCAGTTTTGATTCATGAGTGCATTGGAGCGGATTCCAGATAGTGAACTTTTGCCGTTAACTAAACTCCTGTCATAGAATGGTTCTTGATCATCCCTATAACATAAAAAATGAAACATAAAGAGCGTCATATAACATAGAAATACGTGACAGCAAACATGTTTATAGCTCAACGTTAATAATACAGATTTCTGTGTATCTTGTGAAAATGCCCTCAGATTTAGAAGCATGTTGTCGTTGGTTTCTTTCAAGCTATTTCCACCAGAAAGTACATGTATAAGGCAATAATAAATTGTACATGTATTCTGTCACTTTAAGATGTCAAATTGCTAGGTATACATGTATGCAATGAGCCAGAATTGCCAATAGAAAGGTGAAAACATTTTCATAAGAAACTTCATCACCGGGTCAAACTTGTTACAAAATGTAGTTGGTGGTGAATCTACATCATGGTTTAAGTTTTATTGTAATTAGTAAGCACACAAAATATTTAAAAAAATTGACTGTTTTTTGAAGCCATCATTTTCTATTACTAATCTGGTTTCATGAACTGATCCTCAAGTAACCTTTTGCTATTTTTTATTGGTAGTTTAATGGTCAAGTCAAAACAAAAGAGCATAACTGACAACTCTACAAATGATAAAAACTAAGATAATTTCTGTGAAGGAATCTAAAGTTAGTGTACATGTACATGTAAATTTTCTATCCTGGAATTTTTTGCTTTGTTTACTTTAAATAGAAAGAAACTGTAAAGCATTTAATTTGGCAGTATAGGGTGGTTGCATTAGTTCATTTGTAAATTAACCAGTGATCTTCACAAGCATTTACCATAGCATAGAAATTGACTTCTAAATTGGTGTTCTTTAAAGAACACGGTGAAATAGTGAACTGGTACCAGACACTTTTGTTCATCATTATTAATTAACACATAATATCTTTAGTCCTCTCAGATGGAGTAAACCTACAAAATTAACAATTTTGCTCAACATTTTAAGGATAGCCATAATGAGAATTGCATGACATACCTGGAGTCAGACAAACCTCTTTCTTGAAGGACTTTCCTGAAGGTAAAAAAATAAATAATCAGCCAAGAATTACATGCATAATTAATAAGATGGATGTCTCTGTGGCCCAAAATTATATAATAAACTTAACAAAGATAATTTATTGTCTATGTTCAACAAAAATAAAGACAATGTGTATAGTGTAAGTGCTGCATGCAAGAAAATAACGGCAACAGAAAACTTAAACTAGTGATTAAACATAATTGAGGAAAAAAAATTTCTTGGATTTAAATGTTTAACAGTGTATTAAGCTTTAAGGTATACTTTCAAAAAGACATTGATTGACTGATTTTCTCCATTGTTACTAATTTATTGTCTTTATTTATAAGTGACTTGCAGTATATTATTATGAGGGAACAACCACAAACTGTAAGTTATAAAAATTCTTGTAAAAAATACTTAAGTGAACTGATGCAAAGTTCTACATACAGAGCAAACACTACATAGGATATATTAAACACCTCTAAAAAACAAACATCTCATAAAAGACATTGATTGATTGATTTTCTCCAGTATTACTAATTTATTGTCTTATATAAGTGACTTGCAATATATTGGGGAACAACCACATTCATAAGTTAGTTATAAAAATTCTTATAAAAATATTTAAGTGAACTGATGCAAAGTTCTACATATGGAACAAATACTGCATGGAATACATGTACATTAAACACCTCTAAAAAAAACTTCTTATAAAAAAAATACAAAATACAGTCAACTCGACCAGCCAGGGCAGGAGTTTATTTCAACCACACATCTAAAATAATTTTTTTTCTGCCGGGAATTAATAATAGTTGATAGTCTGCAACACAAGAGATTTATAACTGTAATTTAGACCAACAATATATTACAATCTCTATCTTCCATGAGCTAAAAAACATCTTTTACAATTTTTCAACCTTTTGAGGAATAAAGCTCATTGTTCACAACATGATTATGCACGGACCATATTTCTAAAAGTTTACTTGCAAAAAGAGTGTTCATGTATATAAACATCATTAATAAATCCCAATAAGGGTCATATATGTAAGTACCTGCAACAATATACCTTGGCTGAAACATTACTTACATGTAGTTTGTATAATGTTCATAGAATAAACCAAACATACAATAAAATCACAAGGACGAATACTACTTTTGTATATGATGTGACAATACTGTGTAACTTTCATCAGCTCATCTTTTTCTTACACACACACTTCAACTAGCTTAGTAATTTAATATTGTACACCAAAAGCATGCACACATTGCCTTGCCCTACCCAGATGATATACGAAAGGAGCAAATCAAACAGTAAAGGGATAAATGAGCAAAGGCAGTTACAGGAAGACTGCAAATCTTTAAATTTAATGTGAAACATGTTCTTATAGCATAGCCTTACATGTAAATTAATGTCGAGTAAGTTGAGATAAATCTGTAATCAAAACTCTCTGAATGTGAGCCAGTGCAATCCACCGACAGTCCCAATTTGAGAGATGTCTCTACAACAGTAAACTAATCATATAATACAAGTACCATGCTGTAATTGTGCAAAATCTGTCTGTTGTTATGGATAAAATCTGATTTTATCCAATAGATGTACAAGAACAATGACACTTAATTCAGGAGTTACATGTACATGTACAATATCAATTTTAATATTTTCACTGGGATTCACAAAACAGGCTTCTTCCACAAAACTCATGCAATCGGTGGTAGCAATATTTTAACAGGTAGACATTTTTTTTTAACACTTTGCCTGTTTCCATACTTGACTTGACTAAACCAGCTGGTAATTTGAGGCACTTTGGACAACTAATTAATTTTACCTGGGCATTTTTCTGGATTGAAATAGTTTTGGACATAATGTTTTGGACAGAACTTCCCCCACTGGCTAAAAAGTTAGAATGAAAAAACATCTCACCATAACTTAACGTAAATCCAATCATTCCAATCATTGATATTATTGTAAATACATTGTAAACACAAAGTACACCTGTTGTTTTTATTGGTCTGTAACTTAGATTTTTTTCCTGGGTTTCTTGTTGTTGATTCTCATCTATGTGATTTTCCAATTCATGATGATAAAGGTTCCATTTCTGGTTTTGTATTTGCCTTGCAGGAGCAACCTTTTTATTAAAATAAATAACATTTTCTCAACTCCTTTAGTGCAAAGGACAGTGCTCTGTGCTTTTCAGTGCTCAAAATGAATTTCCAACTCACAAGCAGGAATCAACAAGGGCAGATCCACTAAGCTGACTCTCATTATCTGAAAGATCTTGATCATCACCAATACTTCCTGGACCTTGATTTCCACGCCAAACAAAAGACTCATCTGTTGAGCTGATAACCAAAAAACAAAATGAACATCAATATAAGGTTAATAAAATATAAAAAAAAAAATAATAATAAATAATTTATATTTTCAGAGAAGGCCTCCAAGCACCTAAGGGGGTTTTTGGGGGGGGCTCTAAAATAAAGGTCATAATAATAAATTATACATTAAATACGGTTCAAAATGGTCTAGTAAAAACTGTTTCAGTTTTGGCATCAGTCTCTTGAGCTTACTTGGCAGTAAGGCCCAATCGTTAATTGCTTTATAATTTATAACAGACACCACAGCATTAGAAAATCAGACCAGTTAGGCCAGCACTGGAAAGTAATAAAAAAAAAGACCGACAGGAATTTTTCTGCCAATTAAAAAGAGGGATATTGTACCTCTAATAACAGATGTGGAAAATAAAGAAAGATAATTTGTGAATTAATTTTTTAAGCTTGGTAAAATATATGAATGTCAAAGGTGTGGTAATAAGCATGTCACAAGCCTAGGACTTGTGAAGTTGTGACCAAACAGGGACTTAAAAGACTATCAAATTCAGACATTTGACAACGGACCCACACCCCCCCCCTCCCTGGTCAGGACCTCTGAGCAGTCCACAAATGCACAACATCAAATTGCAAAACACTCCAATTTTTTTCAGTGTATGCATAGGATAGCAATGGCCAAATGATGTCAAAAATGCTACAATGAAAAATGGATAAATAAAATAAGTATCACTTTTGGGGTAAAAGGAGTGCCAATAAGATGTATCTATAATGTAGCCAAAAATAGTAAAAACTGAGGTTAAAGTTTACGTTTGCTAGGAAGCAATACCAGCATAACCTTATGATTTTAAAGAGGTTATTAAATATTGTGTTAATGGATAAATTCCTTTCTCAGTTTAAATGACTATTTACCTTTAGTTACCTGGGTCAAAGCACAAGAAAAAAGCTAACCCAAATAGGTTAAATACTGACAATAAAATTAAAGCTGTAACAAACAACAGAGTAACCCAATGATCAGAGTACCATGAAAATAACACCAAAACTAAAGGGGTTCACATTTAACTTCTGAGCCACCCTTGAATGAAGAAAATAGCCAAGTAATTTACCTCTTACCACTCGGAAATATAAACCTCATTATGGTCAATTTGAATTTTTTGTTTCAGTCATTTGCCAAGCCAGTCTAGCCTTTGTGCTATAAATAGGGTTATCATAGAATGATTATAATAACTATTTATGGTTCGGTGATTTCACTAATTGAATAGTGTTTCTCTGCCTACAGTTAGAACCATCAGGTCTCTATCATAATAACAAAATATTACCTATGTGTATACAGATGAAAACATACAAGTTGCAAAGCAACCATGACAGATAATTGAAGCATGAGGCAAAGTCATGCCTCCCGTTGGAGTCAAGCCAGAGTATAAACACACTGCTAAATTGTCTCTATAGGAGCTACTTTTTCTTTTTAAAAAATTGCATTTCAAGGACCTAATTTATCACAATTTCTCTTAAATTTCGTCACTAGTCCTTCCTTTATTATCAAGGAACATTATTCAAAGAAAAGTAAATAATATTCACTCAAAGTCACATTTGAAAGTGTTTCATGAAAAGACTGCTTGACCGTGATTCTTTTTTGACATCTGGAAAAACATTTGACCGCCATTAACCTGTCAACAATTTGACACCTCGGGAAAATATTTCGCACTTACAAACATTTCAACAGTAGTCTTCCAGGCATGAACCGCATCAAAAGATAAATTTTCCCTAACATGGTGCTTTGCTTTGATCACGAATTTGGTTCGAACGAGGCAAATTAATAAAGAATGGAGAAAGAACTTAGGTGATAGCTACCCTAACAATACCCAAGACTGACACTAGAGAGGAATGCATTGTTCAGAAACTTTAAAACGCCAGAAAATATAATTTTCACTCTCAATACAGAATTTTAACCTCAAGACTTTTTTCACCGAGTTACTAGTTTGTTCAACTTTAAATGAATGTAACGCAGAGGTAAGGGGTAAATTCATGAATAAAATTCTCCTCACAAAAACACAATACATGCACCGATTGCCTTTCAGGAAATGAAAACGCCAAAAACTTGATTTATGATACCTGATAGCTAGCCGTGGATAAAAAAAAGCACTTGCCGACGTTCATTATAATCAAAATAAGCTTACATTTAGCAAAGTCTCTCTGATGAAGTTTGTTACAAAGCATGACTAGTTGAAAGGTTTGAAAAGATAATCCGACATATTGTAATTAAAATGGTCCGTGCCAAGGTATAATCACCCTTTTATAAATATCCATTTGTAACACAAGCAAGAAATCGGTTCCTACAAAATGACTTTCGATCGAACGTTCCTAAACTTAAAATTATGCGTACATGTCAGTGACGAGATTCAACCATAAGAAAGAAACATCCAGACATTTTTACTTATTCATTAAGCAAGTACCATATAAATATCAAATTAATGGAAATGATCTTGATGGAATCGAAACAATCTCACTTCCATGAATTTAATGGTTTGTGAAAAACTGAAAACACGTAATTCTCAAGCTGGGATCGTAAAATTCAAATTAAAAAATATTCAAGCTTATCTTGCCTATCTTCAGTATACAAACACGACAATGAGTTTCTTACCTTCCCATCGAGCTAACACTTGCTGTTTCTGAGCCATATTTGCACTGCAAGTGAAAATATTGAGAGGTTTATAATCGTACATGTTGTATAACATCTTTTTACGCCGTGCAAAATTTTAAAGGTTTGACCTACTACGCGGCCCATGACCGGCGCGGAACAAAATTAGCGTACCCAGGCAGGAATTCAAAATAGGAATCAAAACTCGACCTTCCTTGGCTTACCTTTTCTAACTGCTGTGCAACATTTCTTCTCTCTTGTTCTAATTCTCGGGAAAGCATTTCAAATTGAGCTTCCTGTAAAAGACGGCAAGAAGTACGTTTAAAGAGTATATCGCAAACTAAAGAGTTTTATAGGGCGGAAAAGAAGTTGAAATTCGAAGCTTTCAAGTTTGCAAGGCCAAGCAGTGTGCAAGAAGCTACCGGAACACAAGCCATTTGACCTCAAGATTACCAGCAGCATTAACGGCATGCAGAGACTCAAAGATAATAATCAAGTATAAGGGGTTCGATGATGTTAATCACATTAAATCTACGGAGAACCACAAAAATATACAGCAACTGTACATGCTTACCTGTTGCCTGACAGAGCGAAGGAGGTTCGCTGCGGAGTCTTCGTTATACAAATCGCGTCGACGATAAGACATCGTGATACGAGATTACTCTGCTAAAATCGGACTCTAAAGTGGGAAAGCTGAAGCCCGGTTTTCAAACGCAGTGCTTAGAACCAACTTAATTTCAAAAATGTAACTGAGGAATCGGATTAATAGTATCGAAAAACTCGACGATTACTCTCCGTCCATCAAGATATTGGACGCGACGACAAACAATTGTCTGTCCCACCCTCCCTCAGGCAATACGGGTTTGAAACATGTCAGTCAAATTTAGTTGCCATGACAATATTTGCCGCGTCGTGACCACATGCGGGAAATACGTCCATTCAAAACAAAGGAAAAGAATTTCATCCAGAAGAGTCTTTGTAACACGAAGTTTTATTAAAGTTAGGACATTCGTCTCCCTACATGTTTTTTAGGCCCACATTCACTTTTACTTTACTTTTTATGGGAAAACTACTAATGATATGAAAAAACCATTTTCGTCTGCTCAAATTTAATCAAAGAGGACATATTTGAAGAGTAGACTTTTAAAATCTGTTTACTGAAGATATAATGATAGCCAATAAAAAATGGAGGGACTTATCATCGCTTTATTCAAAAATAAATTGCAAACGACAAAAGAAATTTTAGGTTTGTTTGTTATCGATCGTCTTATCAGAACGTTTAATTGCCGAAAAAATGCTCAAGGACAAAAAGGGGTCAAATAATTTGTTTGGGCGTCGCCGTAACGCAACGAAAAGTTAATGTTTATTCTTTCCCGCCCTAAGACTGAGTTTTTTCATTACCTTATTTTATTATGTGTGGTTAGGCCGGGAGCTAATCATGTTTAAATCATTTTATTTTGCAACCAACATTTTACGCTAATTTGTTTGAAACAGCCGCTAACTGGTTGTTCGAAAGAAGCCAGTTACTAGTCCGATCCACGGAAAAGTAAACCATTTGCGATTCATGACAATTATTGCTGTTTTCCGAACCGTTTGCAACATAAACGGAAAGCCGCTTATACATGTCGCCCAAGGTCTATTTAGAGCTCAGGATTTTGAATGTAAGACAATTCATGCGATAAGAAGAAGTATTGTTCTAGTAGTATTTTTATGGCATTCCGAACACGAATGGCAAATGGCGATTTGTTGTACATATCGGTACACATATAAATACTGTTCTTGTTATACCTATATATAAATCAGAACTTCAACTTAAAAAATGGAAAAATACAAAGAAACCCCAAACGTGAATCGTCAGAAGAGGATATCGTCTGCAAAGCAACAACTTGCTTAAATATTCACACCCTTGAAGTCTACTGGCAAAAATGTATTTTTGTGACGTGCGAGAATCGATTAATAGAGGGAAATTTTAATCCGCTTTTAAACACTCTCAGTAGATGACTGTCGTTTGATTTAAGAGCCGAAACTGTTTAGCATTGAGGTGGTTGATTGAACTGAGGTCAAACAGAAAACTTTTTTCGAAACAGTACATGTGCGTGTCTTTTATAAACCATGATTTCCAAAAATATGTGACAAAGTAAATCGGTGATAAAGCTTTCTAAATGGCCAGGATTTACTTGTTTAACTACGAGATACTTGAGATGTTTGCATAAAGTTGCTTCTTGATTAAAAGAAATGTTATTCATGATGTTTGCTATGTAACAGGGGTTGCAGATTTCCAAAGCACTTGATCAGCATCTAAAAACATCGTTCGAATCTACCGATTGTTCTGTACTATAATAATCTGTACACACTAAAAACACTACTGCAGTGCTTGAGGAGAAAAAACCATTATTTAACGGCAGCAACCTAAATAAAGGCTAACACAAAACGTTTCGATAGCTCACCTGGGAAGCGTCGAAGCTTTCTTTGCTCAAAAAATGGCGTGATGAAAACTCACATCCGTCCACAAGAGGAGTGATTTCTCTTTCTTGTCACAAAAATCACGCAATGGCAAGTGCCCGATAGAAACGCAAAGCCGCGGTGGCTTTCGCGCAAGAAAATCCGCCGATATTTGTTATCCCAAACTGCGAAAAGAGATTCAAAGATGGCCGCAAAGCGAACCGATGATTAACCTGTTTTCGTTAAAATTCCGCCAAGGACACACAAAAGCAGTGAATGCGGGAGTCGGCGAACTTCAACTGGTTGAAATATGGTATGCAAATTTAAAGGAAATATATGCTGACGTTCGTCTCTATTATTTTGAGATTACTGTCTGCTCTAAATAACACTTGAGACACTAGCCAATGGGTGTACGCATTAGTGATAATGCGAAAATATTGTCTATTCTTTCTACCAGAAGACGTCGGAGAAGTAGCGCGGCGCCATAGGAATTGACGAGATTTGATGGTACCAGAAGTCAACCTTTAGACTATTTTTATACAAATATTACTACAAAATAAGAAAAACTCACTGAATGTGACTGGATGTGAATGAGCCATGACCAGCTTGGAATAAAACTTTCCTATATCAACCTGGCAAGAATACTAGAGAATAAGCCCCCCGAGGGGGTACTCCTGGCCGGCCTATGTTGGTGAGTAGCCTGCGTAGTAGCCTGAGTATCAGGCGTTTCTGGGGGAAAAGGGGAAAGATGGAAGCGAAAAAGGGAGTGCGTAGCTGGTGATTTTGCTAGTCGAGCGCGCACATAAGCGTGACGAGAGAGGCGGACGGGGGTAGCCGCTTTTCTTTTTTCCTTCTCGTCCCAAACAAAACACCAGCCACTTAGGCTGGTTGGTGAGCCCTTTCATGGCAGGAAGGAAGTTCTCCTTATCGCTGCCGCCGTATGGATATTTTGTCAGGTCCTGGAGCCCGTTTCTCGAAAGTCCCCTTAGTTACTTGAAAACTGTTTTGCGGTTCACATCAGTTTGCAAAACACAATGGACTTGTAAGAGGATTAGAACTGGTGCTTATTGTTTTTAGATTTTAATTTTAAAATATAACTCACGAGAAACGGGCCCCGTGGCCGAAAGGCTTAGCTGGCTTTACCGAGCCAGTGTCGTTTTCTTGCTTGCGTGCAAGTTCTCTTTTAGTGATGTTACACGAGACGATTCGCAAACGACAATTTTTAGCGTAACACAGCATTGCAATGTTGCAACGCTGTGTTGCGTTTAAAATCGTCTTTGGGAATCGTCCAGTGTAACATCGCCTTTAAGGTCGTCCAACTTCCCACCACTTTTACCTTTTTATTTTCTAACTAATTAAATACATTGAAGACTACATTTAAATTGTTCAGAATTAAACACAAGCTTGATAAATAAGAAAATAGAGACAATACTTCACCTATAAAATCCGATCACGTATGTTTTGCTCACAAAGTTCCTGGCGAGTGGGAGACTTTGTTCCAATGCAAGCTGTGTGATTGAACTTTTTCGGATCTGCATGAAAATAAATACAGTCAACTCCCTCTAAGACGGACACCTTTGGGACCGGAAGTAAGTGTCCGTCTTAGAGAGATGTCCGTCTTATAGAGAGTCAAATAAAGGGGGTAAAGAAAGGAAGGGACCAACTCCAGGAGTCCGTTTGAGGGAGGTGTCCGTTAAGAGAGAGTCGACTGTAGTTCTGATAATCACATTTACAAAGTTCCTTGTATGCATGCTGTTACGCACGAACAAAGTTATTAGGATCCATTAGCAATGCCTTGTTAATAAGCTCAAAAAACATAGGCCTGTTTCAACCCACCCTTGTGCTACTGCTGAGCTAAGCTGGCTCGACTGTAGCTCGACTTCAGCACGACACTAGCACGACTTGTTTTCAGACGTCGACAATACAAAGAAACGATTTACAGGGACACCCAACGTCAATTTTCGGAAAATATCTGTTCGGAAGACGATTTGAGATCTAGAATGTTCGCAACATTTTTTGTAAAATTTCTTGCTTGTCTGCCTCTCCTAGGATTTTCGAACATCTAAAAAATGGTGTAATTGCCCATTTTTAACGGAGTTTTACCCTAAAAAGGTCACCTAGAATTTTCGGGAGCCTTTTTTCTGGCTGAAATTTTCGAAAAGGTAAGTTTTGATCCCTATAATTTTCGGATCACTAGACTTTCATCTAGGAAATCCGAACAGATGAAAAATTTTTAAGGGATAAAAATATGCCTATATCTACCGTTTAAATACTCAAATACGTTTAACAATGCTATGTTGAATATGTTGAAGTGGTTTTGGACTACCGGGNCCTAAAAAGGTCACCTAGAATTTTCGGGAGCCTTTTTTCTGGCTGAAATTTTCGAAAAGGTAAGTTTTGATCCCTATAATTTTCGGATCACTAGACTTTCATCTAGGAAATCCGAACAGATGAAAAATTTTTAAGGGATAAAAATATGCCTATATCTACCGTTTAAATACTCAAATACGTTTAACAATGCTATGTTGAATATGTTGAAGTGGTTTTGGACTACCGGGGCATATTCTCGTTAGGTGCCCCCGCATTTAGAAAACTTTTAGATTATTCTAATGCATTCATAATTTACGAACTGAGTTCGGCACGGCAGAAGCGCGACGTTTGAAACCAAGTCGAGATACTGCCATGTAGCATGGTAGTAGCTCGACTTGGTTTCAAACGTCGCTCTAATGCCGTGCTAAAGTCGAATTTAATTCGATCAATTTAGTTCGGCAAGGCAGTACAAAGGACCTTTGCGAATGCGTCGTCAAGTCAACAAAGCTCATATCATCATGGAGTTTGTAACCACCAGTCTTTTTGGAGTGAGTTTTTCTCATTAATTTAAGTTTTCTTGGAAGAGGTAATAAAGTCCTATACAGTTTATTACCGTCATGTGTTGCGGCTTTGAAAAAAGACAACGCATAAGAAGTCTTCAGATTAACGTAAACCGTGAAAGATAAATGGAAGACTTGACGCGTGATATTGAACCCTGGATTTATTTCATGATTACGAAATGAAAGGGCTCCTGTAATGCATTAATGAAGGTCCCCAATAGTTTTTTCGGGATCCGGGATTTCCCTTATTTGAGGCTCGGAATTCGGGATAATAAAGCAAAATCGGGACAAGATTCGGGATTGAAAGCATGCGCGGGAGGTGGGAAGCCAAATAACCCTCGGGATTACGGGATTGCACGAAATTTTAGGTCGGGATTACGGGATTGAAGAACCCTATTGGTGACCCTCATTAATGAGCTGGGCAGGACAATAATAACACACAAATACCTTTACTAATTGAAACTGAGTTCATTTCATCTTAAACAATCAGTGAAATTAACTCAAGTTTGCAGCGACTCGTTGATACTTTCAAAATGTGGACAGAAACAACTTCAAAGAGTTCGGTTGTTTGCTGCACATATGCAAATTTATGATTACGCTTTTAATCTGCTTTATTCACGAAGAATGTATTTTTCTAACAGTTCAGTATTTAACATCGAGAAAAATTTAGCAACAAACCCCGGATGACAGAACTGGAGAGAGTTACCTCGTTCACTCACTCGTAGTTAGGGAGGTTACGATGCGACAATAGCCACGCAAGTGAAAAGCAGACTCTAGATTCTACCGCTCAAACGGGAGGTCGACAAGCGACGACGAATTTTTCTTTCTCTCTCTAAACTTGAGTGCAGTCCCCAAGTAATCAACTGCAGGGAAATTCAACTCCATTGGCGACGTTTGATAATTCTACGCGGTTTTGAACTACAATAGGTTTCTGAATGTAACGGTGCTGATGTAATGTGTATTTCTGAGTCATGGCTTTCTGCGCACATCTCGGACTCTGCTGGATTCAGTCTTTTCAGGAATGATCGCACTTCTACTTTGGGTGGTGTAGTCTGTGTTTTCTTGAAACACTATTCCTTGCACCCGATTAGAGCAGTACGAGTAGCCGGACGTGGAATCAAAATAATAGCTTTCTTTGAGACCTCATGGCCTACCAAGATCTATCTCGTCAATAATCATATGCGTCGTCTATCATTCTACAGCCAATAGCCAGCAGGAAAAGGAGGTTCTTTGCAATCATATACGATCTAACCTGGACACCTTGTTGATGGCTCAACCCAATTCTCTGGTGTTTGTTACAGGCGATTTTAACCCAACAACACGACTTGACTCAGCCCAACAACCTCAAGCAAATGGTCAATTTTAATACTAGAGACTCTAATATTCTTGACTGGGTTCTCACAATTTTTACAACTACCAAAGATTGCAAAAACGGACCACTTCACAGTCTTAGCAAGACCAATAAATAGTAGCACCTGTACACTCCAGACACGGAAGGTGAAAATACGAGAACAAAGGGAAAGTGCATGGCGCACCTTTGGGCGTTGGCTGACAAATAAGGATTGGTCACCCGTTCTCGCTGCTGAGTCATACAAAGAAAAACTCGACATTTTTATCACGGATTTACAGAATGCAGTAGACACTTACCTCCCTTGAAAAACATTAAAAGTTCACCCAACTGATAGACCATGGACTACAAAGAAAATTAAAAAGTTAATTAAGGAGCGCCAAGCTGTGTTCACCCGGGAAGGAAAGGAATCTCCATTGTACAAGCTCTTAAGGAACAAAGTTGAGCGTGAGATCAGATCTGCTAAGTTCCACTGTTACCATCATAAAGTCAGTGATATTCGACAAAAGGATTTGAAAAGGTGGTGGAAGCAGATTAAATCACTGACTGGTCAGGATATCCATCAAGAATGGTTCCATCAATTTCTTTGCGATGACTGTCCTGTGATACTAAGTCTTTGGCTAATAGAGTGAATGATCGCTTTATTAGCCTGACAGCTGGATTTAAACCTCTTCAAGTCCCCCAGGTCTACTTGTTAGCAGAAGGGAAGTATATGACTCCTTGACAAGAATAATTGTTGGTAAAGCTATTGGACCAGATATTCTACCCGATAGGCTCCTAAAGGAATTTGCACCCGAGCTTGCGTCAGCTATAATGAGCGTCTAAACCGCTCGCTGAAGAAGGCTATGTCACAGATTTATTAAAGTGCTCCATTATCAACCCATTACCTACGGTCCCCCCTCCCAAGGAAATCCAGCCAGACTTAAGACTTATTTCTCTAACCTGCACCCTCTCCAAGGTTATGAATGGCTAGACTTGTCCCTCAAATGTCAGACAATTAAGCTGAACCCACGGCTGCATGCAAGCGAGGGTCACTCCACATCGGACGCTTTAATTTATCTCCACCAAGGGATTCATGGGGCAGCGGACAGGGACTATGGTGCCAAAATGTTCTTGGCAGATATTTCAAAAGGCTTCGACATGATTGATCACAGTATACTCCTAACTGAATTGGCAAGCTTTAGTATCGATCCTGCACTAATCAACTGGATCAAGGAGTTTCTTATCAGCTGATCGCAAGCGGTTAGAATTGGCAATTCCCTGTCCGAGCGGAAATCACCTATCGGAGGAATTCCTTAAGGAACTAAACTCGGTGTCATCTTGTTTGCTGTTATGACGAATGATCTTTTACGCAACTGGCATCTAAGGATAAAATTTGTGGACGACACGACTGCGTTGGAAATCTTGCCAAGGAACGGTGTCAGCTTCGTGAACCACGCTGTTAGCGACATACATCAGTTTTCGTCCGAGCATAACATGAGGTTGAACCCCAAAAAGTGCAAGGAAATGCTTGTAAATTCCATGCATAATCGTAATTTCTCAATTGTTATCGGTTGTAACACGGTGGAGCGGGTCAATACTTACAAACTTCTTGGGGTTAATTATATGTGACGATCTTAGGTGGGTCCATCACAGTGAGTGCATTTCTAAGAAGGCTTCTAAGCGTCTCTACTCCGTGGGATTTCTTAAGAAAGAAGTAGTAGCTGGTGATTCGATCTTGACAGTGTATTTAACAACTATACGACCTATCTTAGAATATGGTGTACAGGTATGGCAGGACATCCCACCATTCCTGTCAAGAAAACTGGAATCAATCCAGAAAAGGGCACTATGCATCATACATTCATCACTTATTTACGATAACGCACTTATCTCTTCTGGTTGTAGTAGTAAAATGACGTCATCGTGCAAGAAAGTCGCTCAAAGGGTGCGTAATCAATTTTCTTTGGGCTGGTTATTTAAACGAAGTCTAACTTACGCCGCCCGAGGTTTAGCAAATCTTTAGACCTCCAGATATCTTCCTTAGTGGGTAATTTTAAGAAAATAAGTGCTTTTCCAGTGTACGCCTTATGCTTTCATGAAACTTCTAGTTTCACGATAAATGGTGTTAACTAAAGATAAAAGCATTTGGGCGAACTAAAATGATATAGAACGCGGTTTTGTTAAACACTGGTTTAACTTCGTTTAAATAACTGGCCCTTAGTGTTTAAATTTTGTAATATATGTGATACCCAGCAGATTGATATCCCGAAATTGAGACTACATGGTTTACGAGGTTTAAGGCGCGTTTTATTATTCATATTCAGATTATAATACATGAAATAAACTTGTATTGGCTTTCATTGCATAGTAATATCTAGAAAATTATTGCTGCGCAGACCCAACTTGACGAATGGAGCCGGCGTTCCAGCAAGCAGGGTATACCTAGAGATTGCCAGCTAGCGAAAGAAATATAGTAATAAACATGGATGGTTAGACTTTCATGTCTTACCCTAACAAGACGAAAACCCTGCCTCACAGTGGCCGTATTCACACTAGAGACGGATTATCCGTTGGATAATTCGCGTCAGACAGATAACACGTCTTAATTTGAAAATGGAATGGTCTTAATTTTGGATGAACTATCCGCCTAACTTCATCCATCGGTTTTTCCTTCAATTTTGACAGATTCTGAAGATGGATTATCCGTTTCAGACTGATAATCCGTCTCTGGTGTGAAAACGTCTAGTTGTTTCAGTCAATCTGACTCTTTGGAACCTAAGGGAGTGACAAGAGATACAAGAAATCTCTGGCAGTGAACCAATCCTGCTGTCCATCTCAATTTCCAAGGGGTAAGGGGTATTTTCTTTAGGGAAGTCATTACCAGTAACTTCTTTAATTGTAAACTGTACCACAAGAAGTGTTGTCAAGTCCCTGCACAGTCTTGCAAATTATTCATGAAAAGTCCTAAGAGTAGTAGATAATGATGAATAAATGTTACCATTACGCCAAAAAACTAAAAAAAATTCGAAGGAAGGCTTACGGTAAGGTCTTTTTCGGAAATTCCGAACGAAAATTTAGGACTACGTTTTTTGTTGGATTGGAACAAACGGAGTGTCGCGTACCATTGATCCTTCTCTGGGTCCCCGTCTCAACGCATACCATGGTGGGGTTGAGGGTAAGTTCAGCAGCTGCCACAAGCTTACAATAAAAATTAACAATTTTATTCAACTGGCAAAAAGTTTTGACAGGTTTCAGTTAAAGAAATTGGAACGTGACGCTGATCTGAAAAACGATTTAAGAAATGAGTCTTAAAATAAATCATTCTAAATGGAAACAAACGAAGGTGATAACAAAAAAATAAACGACGGCAAAATAACAATAGTTCAGGGCGTTTACCCCACCCAAAGCTATGATAGATATTTAACAGAAAAGTTAGCGTTAAGGAGAATGTTTTCGCAATGTGTCATGTGTTTCCATGGAAACGCCTTTCAAGGAGTGCCTCACTGAGAGCTTGTCAGAAGAACGTCTGTGAAGCGAAGGGCTTGGGCTTGATTGAGGCCTCGTCGGGGACTGGGACTTTCGAGACGAGTTTCCACGGTCATCGAGCCAAGCACCAGAAACTTTAGGCTTGAGGTCAGCTGCTTTATCACTTGAAGAACTTACGATACTGGAGTCTGACTGCGTAGCACGGATTCCTATAGAGGCTTGAGAGGAAGTAGCACAGAGTCTAGAGACCTTTGGGGATGGGAGTTTAGGAGGCGATGGGCTTAATTCGTACACACAAGAGACAACCTGAGGAGAAGACGAAGTGATTTTGGCAAACCTCTCCATCGAGGAGGTTGTTCTTGGAATGTCTAGGAGATAAAAAAGAAAACTTAAGCATGATATCTTTTATGTGCGTTGATGCAATGGACGCATGACAAAATTTTTATTCCACCAACACAACGGAAATAAAGCAAAGCTCTTGAGCTCTTCTAGCGCTAGCGACATGTGGAAGGAGAAAGAGATAGATCTTCACCGCTTAACAAGCTAGTGAGGACTATATCTAGCAGATTATTTAGAAACGATGGGGCTTAGAAGATTTTTTCCTTTCCACTTATAGCACCACGTTCAACGGTTTTTTTTGTGCAAGTTGCTACTTTCTTTGAGACAGAATCGTTTGCACATCATTACTACACAGTCAACTCTTGGAAAAGGAAAGATCGAAAGCTACTATGGTACCTAAACATCAAAGCCACTACTCGCGTACCATGACCCTTCCAGTCGTATGTAAAACCTAAAGCAAATAAATCTTATTACTCACCAATACCACTCACGATATCTGATCCGCTAATCTTTCTTCCGAAACTATAACGCGGTTTCCTTTCGTCAGAGGCCGAGACACTTTGGAGCATGAGATCCACAGTATCTATCACTGTCTTAGAAAATTTACCATTAGGAAACTTTCTCTGCTGATCAAACATGCTTGATGCCCCAAGATTTCCTTCTGTATCGTTTTTGATTTCTTTACGGGATCCTGTACCTTCAGCTGCGGTCGGTTCATCGGTTGTACGCAACATTTGCTGCACTATATCATCGACTGTATCGTGGATGGAGCGTGAAATGCTGACGTTTCTATAAGTAGGGTAGCCCTCGACTTTGATAACATCTGTTCGCGCAGGAACGAGCTCTTTCTTAGTCCCTGGAAATGAAACAATCTCCGCGCTCGAAGAAACAAACATTTTACTACTTTTGTCTGAAGATTCACCAACAGCACCAGATGAAACATCTTGTACCTCATTTGTGTCTTCACCTTCGGGTTTCCTCCTTGCAGTGACTGCTTTGTTTTCGTCACTTGGCTTTGACACTGTGACCTCCTGTGAGGATCGGGAGCCTTGCTGATTCATCATCACTCCCACTAACGAACTTTTTGCAGCGGATGAAAGGGATTTTGACAGAGAAGGTCTTGCACTTTGACTTAGTACCTGTTGAACGGTGTTTCCTCTTATTCCTTCTGGATCAACTGTCTTCCTGGCTGCTAAAATGTCAGCACTAGAGGCCGGGCGTGTTTCCGCTTCAGCTCCCTCAGGAGTCAGCCGTTTGTCCTGGATAATTCGTTCCAGGCTAGGAACGACGTTCTTCATGCTCTTGATCATCTCACTTTCCTTATTATCGGCAGAATCTCCGTCAGTTCGATCTAGTTCCGAGCCAACACCTTCTGGCTGAGACTGGTGCTTCCTTAGAAAGGTAGGAGGCAATGAGGTCAAACACTTCTCGACATTTTCCGATGCCTTTTCGAGCTCTTTAGCCGACCGGGACAATTCCTTTCTCAGATGTTCACCCGAAGGAGCGGATCCTTTCAAGACCATTTCTGACCTTGTAGCTTTCTTCGTAGTCTGTTGTAGGTCCAAAGAACTTGCGGATTCACACGACGTTTTTGCGACAGTTTGGGCCAAAACGGCAACAGCATTCGAAGTCGATACTTCTACTCCTTGGGTCCCTACATCTATTTCCAAGTCTTTAGGAAATGTTAAAGTCGTTTCTGTTGAAGCACGAGGACAAACCTCCCTATTTTCTTCATTATCTTGTGCTGATGTATTTGGCGACTGGGCGACTTTTCCCCCGGAATGACTTTTGGACAAGGGGGCTTTAACGGTTGATGTACGAGGAGAAGGCATGATATCGTTGACAGAAAATTGTGAGGCTAATCCAACATTGTCAGGAGACATACTTTGTGACTGAGAGACTTTTTCCTTGGAACTCCGTGGAGATAACACGGCCTTGATAATAGATGCACGTGGGGAGTTGGAGACCTTGCCTTTCATGGCACGCGAAGAAATCACTGCCACCTCAGTAGATGGACGAGGTGACGATGCTGTCGTAAGTGAACTGCCTATTTCATTACTTGTTGCTGAGAAAATGTTTGAATGTTTGTCTTTCACCAAAGATTTTTGAGTAAGAGCAATTTTACTTCGAGAAGAAGAGTGGCCAGATTCGTCTTTTGTAGGCAAGGACTCACGTGATGTTGCCATTTTACTGAGGGAGCCTTTTCTTGCAGAAGGTTTACATGGCAACTTCGCAGACTGCTTTGACGATTGGGGAGAAGGTTTAGAAGATTTTCTTATTTGCAGTGACGAGGTTCGTTTTGGTTGCCCAGAGGATTGCTTCAGAGAACTTTCGCTAGATGATCTTTGGCAGATTTTCGAAGTGGAATTAGTTATATTTGGCAAACGAGATGAAGATGGTATTGTGCGGTTATGCGATTCCTGATGCTGAGAAACATGTTGGACACCCTCACCGGCGACAAAAGACCCTTTGGGTGACAAGGAGGGCAGGCTTGTTACTGAAGTAATTCTTTTCTTTTGCTTCCACAAAACCTCATAACTCTCCACACGAGCAGCGATCAGTGAACACTCTGATGGGTTCAAATGAGGAAGGACAACATACGACCCACACGGAGAGATCTCACAACTGGTACATTCTTCTCGTTTCTTAATAACATCGTAAAGAGACGGTTTTTCAGTCACGGTCGAGCTTTGATTTTGAACGAAGAGCTTGGAATCGGACGCCGATCGCTCTCTTTCTGGCACTGAAACATTTTCACAGTTGATGCCTTGTCCCGGATCTGACACACGTCTCTGAACAAGGTCACTGTCGGTTACTTTGAGAATGTTCAAGTCACTATCTGATGGGCTGCACAGTTCTTTATCAACCTCTTGAAGTTCTTGCAAAACAGGCTGCGCACGAGCCTTTCTGAAACGTGGTGTAGGAGGTCTATTGACAACGCTCAGGAAGTCTGTTTCTCGTGGAACATAACTGTCTCTGCGGGAATGAAATAGAGAACCCTCGTTGAAATGTACGGAGCTACTTCTTCGACGAGTGAAGCGGGCATGCCCTGGTTTAACATCGGGAGCAAAAAAGAAAGACGCATTCTTCATCTGGGTTTTGACAATTTCCTTGGCGTTTTCTACAACGTCATTAACAATTCTTGAAGCTTTTAATGATAGCTTTTCCCTATGGAAGAGATCTTGAACAAGTGGACTATACTCTGCATCGGCTTGAAGGGCCTCGCTATGAGATATGAGTTCGTAATCTTCAAGGTCATCGGTATCGTCATTGAAGTACCCCACTGATCCAAGTCTCCTCAAGGCTCCGTTAATAAGGCCTTCCACGTAGGTTGAAACCTTCCAAAACAGCTGCCCATGATCAGAACCCGGATAGCTTGGTACTGACTGGTTTTGCTGAACTGAACGAGCAACGGAATCCTCAGCTGACACAACCACCTGTGATGCTAGTTCAAAGGCCGCTTTGCAAATCTGCAAATCAAGATCGACCGTGGAACTACTTTCTTGTACTTGAGCTAGCATAGCTTCAGCAGATCTAACAGCATGAGATGCCATATGGCCTGTAGCTTCCTCCAGCTCTGACCCTCCAATAAAACCACGATCAAAAAGCTCCCCTGACGAGGCTTGCGCGGAAATTGTAGTTACTTTGGCTGCTGCCTTTAATAGGCAAGAATCACTTTCAACTTTCTGGTGCAACGAAGATTCGTCTCCGTGCGGTTTGGCGATAGACTTGGATGCCGATTCAATCGCACGGCAGGCCAGTTCTCGAGCGGCATTACCGAGTCCTTCTTTACCGAGACGCTGGCTTAGGTTTCGGGAAGAATCAACCAGGCTTTTTGAGATGTCCAAGGCTGCATTCTCTATGTTACTTTCTATCTCATTTGCAATACAATATAATCGCTGCAGAGACGCTTCTGCCGCTCGTAAAGCATTTGATGCCAAATTGCGGGCCGCCACCATCAACTCTCCCTCGCGCTCCTTAACATCTAAAATTTGTTCGAACGGCTCAGAAGCAGATGACATGATAGAGATCTCTTTAGAGGGAGGTAACAATTCTATTTCTGGTTCGATCTTGATTCCATATAGTCTTTCTATAGAGGCTTTTGTAGAATTAAGTACGTTGGTGACAAGTTCGCGAGTTGTGTATGTCAAATCCCGTTCATTTTCCTCAGCCATGCGCTGAAGAGACCTTGTAGCCGATTCAACGGCGACCTCTGCTATTCTTTTCACAGCTTCATCCAAGCTTGAGAAAATTCTTAAAGCGTCCTCTTTCGATCCTGGTGCGACACTCTCCCTTTGAAACCAACCAATTGACGCTTTGGCAGAATCCATAGCGCTGTTGGCCAATTCTCTTGCCGCAATTGTCAGATCGAAATCACGTTTTTTCGAGTCTTTTTCCATTGACTGAGTTGCTGAAATTATGGCAGTAGCTGCGATTCCTATAACAGCTTCTTCACTTTCGTCTTCAAAATCAACCTTAATGCCATAAAGGTTTTGAATCGATGCCACAGCTGCTTGGATAGCGTCATTTGCAAGCGACTGTGCTGCACGACTTTCAGTTTTGCTTATTATTTTCGTGGGACTTGGCAACTGTGAAGATGAGGTAAGAACGCCTTCAGCAACATCTTTAGCCGATTCTGCCAAACACGCTAAAATGTCCGTGGAAGGAGCCACGTCCTCTTCTTCAAATTCAACAATAACACCAAGAAAATTTTCCAGGGAAGCTTTTGCGGCGGCAACTGCATCAAGTGCCAACGATCGTGCAGCCATCACATTGGAATCATGTTTAAGATAGGTTCGTTCCAATGAGCGTGTGGCCGAGATAATAGCCGCAGCTGCCACTTCTTTAGCGCATATATCCAAACTGGACGAAATTTCATGAGTATCGACTTGATCTTTTGCGTCGAGCTCACAAGTTGTACCATACAATTTTTCTAATGATCCTTTCGCTGCTAGAACAGCATCAGCGGCTAGTGATTTTGCTGCACTTATTTCGCGATCACCACTGCTATGGCGACAAGCTGACATTACAGCAACGGTTACAACGTCTTTAGCGCATTCAAAAAGGTTTTCGGAGATATTTTCAGCTACTGTCTCTTTTTTCGGTCCAAGGTCTTGTCCATCTCTTAGTGCTCTCTGGAAAGCAGAGTCTATAGCTGCGGTGACAATTTCTCGAGCAGTGTCACGTAGAGATGCTCTTCGCTTATACTCTTCCTTGGCATTACTAAAAGCGGTTGCAACTATCTCTTGAGCAGCTCGCCGCCTTTGCTCGTCTAGCGAAAGCAATACTCCAGAGCTTTCTTCATCACCTAAAATTCTTTGAGCATTATCCACGATACGCTGGACGTATCCTGGAACTTCTTTGCCGATTTCAAGCCTCTCTTGTATATCGAGCGCATGTTGTGCGTTTGAAATTATGCCAAAAACGACGTAATGCACTCTTTCGCGTAAAGCAAATTCAGCCTCAAGTCTTGATAAGAGTTTCTCAAACTCATCAACTTCCTCGATTTGTCTTGAGGTTTGTTCCTCTGCCAGCTGAGAAAGGAAAAAATACATTGTCATGAGCTGGACAAAAATGGGCAAAATGCGGGCCTGCTCCGGAAATTACGAACTAAATTTTCAGTAAAAAAGGTTTGGTTGGGCGACATAAATTGAAGTTATTTAAATGACTCTTTACAGATATTCACCGTATTTTTGTATGTTATAGACCATCTTACCGCTCCTAAATGTCTTGCTCTCTGCTTTGCTTTCCTGCCCGCAAAAACAACACCACTGCAAAAAGACAGACCACCGAGTGAGAAAAGATTGATTCATTTTAGAGTAAATGAGGGCGTAGCAGAATTAAAATCCAACAAATTGAGTTCCCAAAAAATAGAATTCAGAATTGAGTTTACACTAAATTCTACCTTAAACAGACTCAGTGCCGGGCTCAATGGTGCCAGCACTGGGAACGTTACTAATATCCCGTTTACACAAACGATTAAACATGTTAAAAAAATGTAAGTTAACCTCTGGGATTCCCTGTTAAGGAGTTACTCGACGGAACGAGAAGCACTGCATTCAAATGATTTCAAAGCAGAACAGGGTCAAGTGCAGATAACAGTTATAGGTCCAAATGAACCACAGAACAAAAATCTACTTCAGCATTTTTCAAGCTCGCTTTCGTTTGGTGCGAATAATAATGACAAATGTCGACTTCATTCACGTGTGGTATTCTTTCCCAAGACCTTTGCATGTTTTTTGTAATGGCAATGCCGCTTAAAAGCAAGAAAATTATTACAGTTATAGACGCATCTTTTGAAGTTACCAAATAAAAATTGAAAAATTCTATCCTTTGAGCTAACAAGGCAACCGCAAGATGGTCATTTTTGGTTCATTATAAACCGGTGGAAGGATTAGGATGAAATAATAAATAAAAACTGATGATTTTGCAGTTTGTTCATACGTTCTGACAGTTAAATGATTCAAATATTACATCTGTACCTGTAAACTACGTTATCATCAATTCCAAATTCGTTTTTCAAAGATGACTGCAAGTCCCAGACACTCGACAAACGAGATCTGCGTCTGTGCTCTGGTCCAACGTCACTTGGTCTGCTTCGAAGGGAACCTCTGTGTCCCTACGAAGAACACACAAATGACATTTTCAACAATCCAGTGGTTTTAATAGCTAGCCGTTAGGGACATTTTTGGTAGCTTCGAGCACAGGAGAGTGACTTCATTTGAAACTGCACTAAAGTGAGTGCGGCTATGACAGTATAAAACAAAAATGTTCATTTACGGACAAGGAGCGGTACTTCGATAGCGAAACGCTACCTTGGAAGTAAGGGTGGATTTTGCGCATACTGTCGCGTAATTTTTGCGTGCGTACGCGCATGGAATTTAAAGGGGATAAATAAAATATAGACAATGTATAAAAGGCCGATGGTAAACGTAAATGTACATTGCCTCTACTTTATTTACGTACGTACGCATGTTAAAATTGCACGACAGTGGAAATCCACTTTAAGAACGATAATCACCTGCTGCAAATGTCTCTCACGCATTCGCTGGTGTTTTTGTTTCCATAACTCTAAATCTTTCATTTTCTTTTCTCTCATTTTCTCTAGAAAATCTTCAGCCTCCTGATGTTGTTTCTCCAGTGAATCGCGCCTCCTTTGCAAGCACAGATCATGGTAATCTGAAAAGAAGACAATTATCGGGTAAGAAGAAAATTGGCTATTATAAAGATGTTTGAAAGAATCAATTTGGGTTTTAATCTAAAAGGTGGGTTCGGCTGAGTGTAACCCTAACCATTAGTTTTGACGCAAAAAGTTAGCGATAAAATTCGTAAAGTTAATCAATATGAAGCTCACAAATTTGGCTAAAAAACTCATACGTAAGCAAAAGTAAAAGTAACAGTAAGCTTTTTACATTGTTTTATTAACTTCTTTCTTTCTTTTCTTCTTTTATATGTTTGAAATTCTTTTATTACCTTGGGTGGGCACCATGCATGTGTCCAAGTGTCCCGTTCGTACCTTTTCCCTTTGTGCATTAATCTTCATTTTTTTTGTCTTCTTCTTCTTTTTTTCTACTCATACTACTTGGCCAATAAAGCATGTAAAAGTAAAAGTTCTTGTACTCAATCTCGTCGTAGTAACCTGGTGTAAATTAAAAGGTCCCTAATGCCTGATCACTGGCACCAGTTTTCACTGGTTATCGCTTCTTTATCCACCATGCTATCTGTTTAAACGATCCCGTAAAACTTATGCTTACACTTGCGATTGTATTTTGCTAAGAGGTGAAATGTATTACCTCGGCTTTTACGCCGCTGTTGCTCCACAATGGATGTTCTTCGCGCCACATTTCTGATATGCTCTTCTCTTCCTTTTTCTTCTTTTCTGCGTTTTTCTTCTTGGCGCTCCAACGACAGTGAACAGCGTCGCTTCCAAGACTCTCTCAGCTGGAAAAATATAATAGAGACATTTAGATTCGAGGATAAAGATTTTTTTTGCGTATTCTCAAAACGTAGATACCCCGGTAAGCTTCGCAATCCTTTTATCAGCGGTTGTCCTTATCGAAGGAGAAGGGTAAGCCCTCTTCCGATGGCAAAACCGTAAAACTTCTAACATTTGCTAACTTGTTTGATACTTGTTACTGAGAAAATCTCGTCCTTGTATTCGTTCTCGTCTTGCAATCTAAAAGTCATTAATAGCGACAGTCTGTCTCTTCCTTTCTATTGCGTTTTATCAAACCGCATTTCGTCGTTTGCGGTAAAATGACCAAACTTCGATCCTAACGTCTCTAATATCTGTAATTAGTCACCTGAAGAAGCAAATGAAAGAGACTACCAACGATAAAGGCGATAAAAACGTGAATAGAATCTTGGTACCTAAACGCTTAGCGAGCGGGCTGCTTGGCTACTCACCTCCCACTACCAACACTATAAACAAAGCTCCGTAAAAATTATATTCCTTTATTAACCTGGGATACTTGCAGTAGAACATAACTTTAAGCTTTTACCCAACTTATATCCAATTTTCACTTCACCAATGCAGTGGAACCTCGATATAACAAAGGGCCAAGAGAATTACAAAATATGTTCGCTGCAAGGAGTTTCGTTCGTTAAACCGAGAACTTTGTTATATAGAGGTTCGTTAAATCGGGGGTTCCACCGCAACATGAAACTATATTACCTTTGTATGTGCAGAAAAAACATGACAACTGGCGCGGTATAAACCTTCTGGCTAAAATTTGATCAAATACGCACTCACAGAAATAACAACCACTCGCTATTCGACCAAAGAAAATTTCAGCTTGCTTGTACGGTTCTTATATGTGGGTCGGTTCTGACTGCATTTGAGTGATAAGGAAACAAACCTTCTTTTCTTTTTCCTCGTTGAGAGTTTGTCGTCTGTTTTGTAGCCGACTTTCTCTCCGTTTGTCCTCCGAACTTCGCTTTACACGAAGACGGAAGTTAATCTTCTTTACCTAAAACAAGGAAAACAGAATGTAGATAACATCAATAGAGCAATATGGTTTGCGTATTCTTGCATTTCTTCCGTTCAGTCTTCAGCTATTTCGTCTTCGGATAGCCGTGGTACGGACCATTAGAAAAGTTATGGGAGGCGGGGCAGAGGAATTTTCGAGCCGCAGGAAATTTTTTCCGTTATCAAATTCCTTGTATGAACTTTTTTTACGCCATAGCATGAATATTTTTAGCGGAGCCCTGGCGCGTGAGGCGCGCCAGCGGAGCACCATGGGTAAGTAAATCTACCCATCCCAGAAAATTTGGTAATCACCTGACAGTACACCGCCCGCCCGCCCTCCCGCACCAGAGGAAAACCAATGTTCAATCTCGCACTTTCTACCTTATCTGGGAGCACAGGAGGACTGATATTGCACACATATTGCACATCAATGTTATGATCAATTGACAGCTGTCAAAACAGGGTATCAGCTGTCCAGTATCACCTGACCGTATCGCGGGCTCAGGTGTTGACCCATCGAGGTCGAGTATCTCTTTGAAGTTAGACGCTAACAAGTTACTAGTTTTCAAATGATCGCAGGCTCAAGTTTAGTATTTTTTAATTCATGTGAAATATGTTGTGTATTATATGTGCCGCACAATTAAAACTTTGATTTCAAACTGACCTCGGAAGCTAAAATTCAGCCAGTTTTTACAGGCAGGGAGGAAATGCCAGTTGCTTTTGACTTTTCTCGCCAAGATCACGCGTTGGTCACGCTCTACGTCCAATTTTTATGCTCTGATTGGTCAAAATTTGACAGGTGAGTTCATGCGGAGAATTTATGCAGCATCTTAAAACTTGTTTACTTTGATAGCTGAAGCTGACAGAGTTTTGTGTCAACTTGTGATGTTTTTAACTGTTTTTTTTTCACTGAATGTGCAAAATGAAATTCACCTGCTATCAGAAGTCTTCTGTTATTCATGGCTAGTTTGTTTATTGGGTTTTTGGTTGAGAAATACGTCGCTTGTCAAAGTCAGAAATCCGATTTCGGATGGCATCGTTTTCGTTTTTCACCTTGCTTGATGTGTAAGAGGGTTGCAAAGTCTGAAGCGATTCTGGCCTTTAATACTTGATAGTTTTTAGTGCATCTCGAATAGTAAGCCTGAGTAATTATTGTATTTGACCTTTGTTTAATGAAGTGGAGCGTTGTTTATGGGGCTATTTAGTTTATGCACGTTTGTAGGATTTGAGACAATGATCTGACCGAGTATCAGGTTTGATTATAAGCTTATAGAACTTTAAAAAGCCTCTAGACATTTTCTCACCGCAAATAAAAAGAACACGTTCCAAAGAATATTTAGTTATAATTCTGGCTGTAAAAGAAAGCTTTGAGCGATTTCCTTGCCTCGAGTTCATCTTTGAGAAAAGCAAACACCGGGAAGCCGGCTTAAAACATAAACAAGGATTTTCAGAGACGTCTTTATGAATGAAAATTGTTGTCTCTGTATGTTTCACCGAATTATTTTCCTTCTATTGATTGTTAGTAGTCTCTTTTGCAATTTTAATCGCTGTGCCGTTTGTTTTCCGTCGCTCATGAACATCGCTTGCAGGAGTAGTCAAAATGCCGCGCGTATCAAACGCTTCGGAAGATTACACATCGTTATAAAGCCATTATGTTGAAGCGTATAACTCTGTTAACCTTAATTTAAACAGTCGACTTGGGCGCTTGTCAAAAGTGAGAACCGGCTCGCCGTATAGGTGATTTTGGAAATTTTTTACGTAGTTACTAAAACAAGGAATGACCTACAATGACCTACAATGATCTACAATGACCTACAATGACCTACAATGATCTACAATGACCTACAATGAGCTACTATGACCGAACGTGTAACCCCTGTAATGAGCTAAAATGAAGATTTTAGAAAAAGACAAAAAAAAAGACCAGGGGACGTGTGTCGTAGTTACTAAAACAAGGAATAACCTACAATGACCTACAATGATCTACGATGAGCTACTACGAACTACAATGAGCTACTATGAGCTAAAATGAGTTAAAGTTAAAGTCCTACAATGAGCTACAAAATGACAGACACTGATGTTTGTCGTGTGTCACGCTTGGATGTGACACTAGCCTCATAGTATTAAATTGCCAAGCACATTTTGAAAAGGCAAAACAAAAATTGTGCCTGATCTCAGGTAACTTGAGAAACTTGAAAATAGATTATTGCAATCGCGTTTTTACTGGTATAGCACTATTATACCCTGTATTGACGGAAGTCATGCAGGCACTCCCTTATTTGGCCTAGATGGGTATGGGCCGCTGAGCAGGATATGGATTTTACTATTTAGCGTTACAAACAGAGCATCCTGTTGGACCGAAAGCCATTTAAAGGGTCTTATGATGTCTTATACAGGCCAGGGTACTTAAAAAAAATGAACAATTTTTCTTTTGAACAGGGTCAGAATTTGAAGGCCTCCTTTGTTCATCTCTACCCTTACGTCCCTTGAAGATCCCCCCGGATCGACTGTTGGGGTGACTGTGTTTGTTCAATTTGTTTGAAAAAAAGACAAGACAAAATAAAACTAATGCGAAAGGTTGCAAGGGATGGTTTGGACAAAAGTCACAGTATCATCATACATATATTATTACACTGTAAATTTGTCTCCAAGCGTAATAATCAGAGATGCTGTCATCGTTAAATGGGCTGTCATGCAGTAGACTAAACGCGTTACGTTTACGCACACATGTCCCCTGATCTTTTTTTTTTGGTCTTTTTCTAAAATCTTCATTTTAGCTCATTACAGGGATTACACGTTCGGTCATAGTAGCTCATTGTAGGTCATTGTAGGTCATTCCTTGTTTTAGTAACTACGAAATTTTTTAACGGTTTCGCTAACGCGTGCTTCGCTCGTCCTGAATATTGAATGAGTGAAATTTGTATTGCAAAATTGTGAAATACTGCATTCTGTCCGAGGTCTGTATGATAAAAACAGCGCCTCATGGTACTATTTCACCTCAGATGTGATGTATGAAAAGTATAAAACGTTGGTTTACACGTCCCCAGACTTGTTGGCAAGATTTTGTAAAGTAAACTTGTCGAACGCAAAAGATTCGGTCTGATTTATTTTCCTAATGTACTGTGATCAAGAACCATTATGGCTATGCTATTTTTTAGGTGTACATATAAGGCTTTCAAGTCGATGTAGGATTAATTTCACTCTTGGGTTGGATTGTTTGCAAATTATTTTTCTCTAACATTACTCAGCCTTTCCCTCAAAAGTCACACGAATGTGCTCTAAAGTTAACTGATTTGTGGAATACAAGTTTGATTTAAATTATAAATTCCAGTTAGTAGGGGCTTCGCGTTTAGCCCTGGCTAAATCTATATAGTAGGATTAATTGGCATGCACGAATTTTTTTCATTTAATTTTCCCTTGCGCGAATATATTTTTTGTACTTCGCCCGCTCCCCCACCCCCCATAATTTTTCTAACGGTCCGTCCCTAAACAGCTAGGTTTCCGCGTCTGAAGACGAGGTTGGTCGATGGGTTACTAGGCAATACAAAATCGAAAGGATGGTATATTGCTCGCATCTTCCAAATATGGTAAGCGCCAGTTGGTTATGAAGAATTAGCCGGGGGATTAGAGCCAATCAGAAACGGCGAAATATCATCAATGAATAGTAAGTTTGTAAGTGTTAATGTTGGGTGGAATTTATATCTTTTTTATTTTGTAAGCGCGCAGTTCTTTATTATTCACAGAAGTATGAAACGCAGAAGAATATCTGCGCTCACAAATCAAACAAGATTCTAGTTCCGACAAACCTTTTTATCCTCTTCGTCCTTTTCTGCTTGTCTTTTCGCCAGAGCCTTTTCTCTTTGACGTTCGTTTTGGTCCTTTTTTCTTTTCAAGTCGTCTTCGAATTGCTCGCGTCTTTTTCGGTCTAGTTCTTGTAGCTTGAAGTATTTTCGACGATCTACCTCGCGACGCTTGATACCGCGCTCTTTAAGTTCTCTGGCCTTCTGTTCTCGTTCCCTCAAAATACTGTAAAGTTCTTGGTCTCGCAGTAGCTGTTCCCGTGCTTGCTTTTCCTTCCACTGTTGTTTCTCGATCTGTCGTTGCCGTCGGTGTTCCTGATGCAAGCGATCCAACTTGAGCTTTCTTATCCACTGGCGAAACATGTTGAACTCGAGAAGCGTACATTTAACAAGCCCACTGGGCGTGATGAAACCTTTATTGACATAATGAAAATGACACCAGATTTTTTTTTCGCGTATTAATCTGGGAACCCGGGGTACAGACAAATTATTTTGCTGAAAACTAACAACTGAAAAAAAAAGAATATTCCGGTAAAAAATGTATATATCTGTAACACAGCACTGTCTTCCCTACTTTTGGGGTCTAAAAAATAGACCTATCCGGCTAACCCAGTGCTGTACCCAATTCAAACCCTTTGGGAATAAAACGTTTTGTTTCAGGAATTTTCATAAAATTAATGTGAATTCCACGTTATAATGCAATACAATACATCACGTGATGTGGCTAACATGGACGGACGTGTGTTGGGTGCTCCGCGTAACAAATTCCTCCTTTCGTAAATTTCTGAAGTTTAATTGTTCCTTTTGCTTTCATCTATTTGATTCGTTCTCTTGTACTTGCCTTGTTTTTTTATGTTAGTTTATTCTATTTACTGTATCGTAGTGTCTTCACTGTTATTTAGTCCATCTATAGATAATCCTTGTACTTGTAATATGTCTTCAGCTCCCCCTGCCTCGATTAGTTTATAAGCTGTTTGCGGGTGGAAAAGTAATGTAATTAGTTATACTTCCAATTTTCAATAAAATTTGTTTTTTTTTTGTTTTTTTTTTACAATACACAAAGAATCTTAACCCTGGGAGATTTGAATTAGGTACAACATTGATTTAGCCGAATGGGTCTATTGCCAGTCTTTTCACTATCCCTCTCAATCAAGCTGCTTAAGAGGCTTGAGAGATATGAATGAGCCTTTTTTTCGCTTCTTTTAACTCGATAACCCAAGTTTAGTGTGAAATTTGAATTGGAGTATGAGAGCTTAAAGGGGCTACGTCACGCTGTTTGCTGTCGTCACAGTCAACTCTCTCTAAAACGGACACCTTTGGGACTGGCACTAAGTGTCCGTCTTAGAGAGGTGTCCGTCTTATACAGAGTCAAATAAAAGGAGTAAAGAAAGGCAGGGACCAACTCTAGGTGTCCGTTTTACAGAGGTGTCCGTTAAGAGAGAGTCGACTATAAATTGAAACGTTTTGCGCAACAATTAAATTCCAAAAATTATGGTCCAGTTTTGTCATTTAAGACCATATTTAGACATTGAAACTGTCTCCTGTTGTCTGTTGCAACGGATGGGCAAGGATGAACATCGATTGAAGCTTGAAAAAGTTGGCTTTTTAATGCTATGCCTAAAAAAATCGCGAAAAAAATAATTATTGTTGGTAGTCCGTGTTGAATTTTATTTGGTATCTTCCTCAAGTCTCTCAACTCTAAATTTCGTGTATGATTAAAGACACTAAGGAATGACTTCAGCAAAGAATTTACCTAAAGCAGCAATACAGTCAACTCTCTCTTAACGGACACCTCTATAAGACCGACACCTCTGTAAAACGGACACCTAGAGTTGGTCTCTGCCTTTCTTCACTCCTTTTATTTGACTCTGTATAAGACGGACACCTCTCTAAGACGGACACTTAGTGCCGGTCCCAAAGGTGTCCGTCTTAGAGAGAGTTGACTGTATCCTCGTGACATTGCCCCGTTAAAAGGAAATTAGGTCTAATTCCTTTCGTCTTCAATTTGATGATAGAGTAGAGAAAATTATCCTAGATATTGGCTTTGAACAACAGAAAAGAAACCCGGATTAACATTTAACTCCGGGTTAGCGCTAATTGGCCTTGGAACAACTGGGCCACTAAGAAATAAAAAGAAACAAATTCTAGAGACGCTGATTTTCGGAGGTATCGGTATGGGAATGCGTATAAGTGGCCGGGCTTATGAGAGACAGTTTACGGTACCTTATCTCTAAAGCCCTGATAACCGGGCTTGCAGGCCTCTTAAGATAAGTCGCCGATCACACTCATACCTTTTTCAATGAGTCTTTTTCTCATGGTCGGACTTTGAAAATACTCTTTCAAATGTGGATCGTGTAGGACATTGTAACGAGGCAAGGTGTTATAAGGATCCGTCAGATCGAAATCTGCATCTGAAGGCATTTCTCGCAACTGCAATATAACATGGTCCGGTTAAAGGTTATTAAACATAACTTATTACTTTGAAGATTGTTGTGGCTTGGTCAGCAATAACATAATAATGGTTTTCTAACTGGTAACAGGACGACAACAAACTCGAAAATTGCAATGTTCCTATATAGAACAAACTTATTTTCTCGGAATAATAAATATATGCACGAACTGCGTAAAGAAAGCTCTAGCAGATGAAGATTGTTGTCCTGGTACTCAGAAAAAAACCGCGTAGCTGCGCGAACACTTTTCCAAAAAAAAAAGTTTGTAAAAAAAATCTACATTCTAACCCGCCCTTCATTCGTAAGCACTCTAATACAAATCGGAACAATTAAATATGGAAATCTGAGAGCTAAACAACTGCAGCAATAAAATCACGAGCTTCTTGATCGCCGGGACACTGTAAAGCCAACATATAGTAAACGATTTAGCATTCCACGAGATTAAGACATTCAGGGATAACTATCATAAATTAACTGAAGTTACTGATCACGAACCAAGCTTGCGTCGAGAAGGACAAATAATAAAAAAACATTCCTTACCTTTTGTGAAAGCATGGTTGTGCAGAACGCTATCGACCTTTGCGAACCAGGGATAAGTGGAAATTTGCTGCTCAAACTCATTAAATCTTCCTCCATAATACATTCTGGTTTAAACTCTAACACGCTGGAGCTATTTTCGCGAGCAACAGAAAACATGTACGCCATGGCGTCCATGGTGAAAAGGGCACCTAACTGCTTTTTCTCTTCTTCACTTGCGTTAAGTTATTCCTATTGTTAATTTTGATTGAAATTTTACAAATGAAGAAATTTTCAACCTAAAGTTCAGTAAAAAACGTCATAATGAATAATCAATGACGAACTGTTAGACTTGCGCGAGGAAAAAAAGTGTAAACAATTGATTTAGAATTAAGTTATATTCTAGAATGCACTTCCCGTATAAAAGACTTTTTAGATAACTTAGCTTTTGATTTTAGTTTTATCATAATTCTAACTACGCTTGTACCGTTTAAACTCTTTCTACAGGCATCAATTTCAAAGAATTCGGGATCTCAAAAAGTGAAAATTGGCATTGAACATTAGTTCAGAGAAGGAAGAGTGGGCGCAAGCAATAACAGGTTGCCGGGCTTCTGAGTGTGCATGAATATGGTTTACCACCAGACCTGCAGTGTATATAACATCGCGCACGAGGAAATTATTCCTCGCTTATGCGAGGTTTATGATTTTGTTGGAATTCGCCTCACGCTTGGAACACGCGTAATCGCTTAGAGAGAGGGAGAGAGAGCAACATGACTTGGCTATAAACCTATTCTCACCGGGCCCCGCGATAACAATCACTCTTCCCTAATCTTGTGTTTTTTTTCATGCTACAAATTAGTAAACTCAAGTAATCTACTCTGGGTTGCAGGTTGCCTTCTCTGCGTTCAGAGGGATCAGTTTCTGACCGGCCGCAGGCCGTAATCGGAAACTAAAAACAACATAAAAAGTCTCTGGCATCCAAAATATAAATTATTAGAAGCAGAACCCGGAACCAACAAAATTTATTAGCTCTTTTTAGATGTTAGTGATGAGTCGTTTTGTCTTGTGCCCCATCCTCTCAAAAACATATCACAAATTTATTTCCCAGGAAGTGCAAGCCAGCCTGGCTCACAGCAAACGAGTCTGGGCTGTTTCCATTGCAGTATTTTCACTTGTGTTGATATGAGCGAGACCATTCGCATTTTACAAACTGGTTATGATAGCAAAGAGTTCCTTGCTATCGTATCCGCCTTTCAGAAAGACAGTGGGCGCTTTCCATTTAGTCAAAATTTCCGGTTCGGCGGTAAATGGAACACGTTTCGTCGGTTCGTCCCACCGGAAAATTCCCAGAAAAAGTGGAAAATCTAAAAAGGTGGGCCCGTTTTCCCGGTTGGAATTTCCGAACGGAATTTCGTGTTCCACTTAAACCAGGCACAATAAACGCAAACCTGTTACGAGTAAGACGAGGCCAAAAAAAAAAAAAAATTTAAAGACAACATGCATAAACTACTGAGTCGTCCCCAAGTTGTCTCTACTCATTGATTATTTATTAGGGAAGCGCTTGGGTTATGCGCGCGCGGAAGATGGGAAGGCGAGAGGAGGAGACACGACAGGCAGATCCCGTTTCCAATACGGCCGACGAAATTATTGCTCCATCACGCGCAAGGTGTAAATTGCCTTGCCCGCACATAGAATGCAGAGGAGACGCCAGAAAAGTGTTTTTGAGGAGACAGGTCGTTCGCAGCATTCAGAATTAAACATGCGAGAGTCGTTTTTGACAATATAAAACAGGTTCGTGAAGCTTGGCGGTTGTTTCGGTATTTACACGGCGAAGAAACCGAGGAACATTTGATAAGACTTTGCGCGGAACGCCAACAGGTAAGCGTCTTAAATAACTCTATCATTGACTTGTAAAATTCGCGCTCCACTTAGCAGTGGAATATTAATGACCAGTGACGAGTAATAACTTATTTGTAATTTACACTTTCAGAGGAATGATTCGAACGATTAACTGTTGCTACTGCATACGAAGGCTTTCGGGTCCTTGAAATAGTGGCAAAAGACGCTTGACAATGTGTAAAGTTCGTAGGCATAATGCTAATGCACCATGGGCAGCTGAAAGCGTATGGGGAAGGTGCTCAACATGTTGTTATTAAAGTTAACAAACCTGGTCTGTCTGTTCATTTAATGCGTGGCATTCCAAGGTTACCGTCAGTGGCCAGTCAATAACAAGAATTGTAGCCAACGCTGTTTTAGTCAAAAGGGTAAGTTTCTTTTTTCACTTGTCGTGGTAACCATAAAATAAATTCCTAATGGGATTGATTTGTTTTATGCATTTATCAGTATGTGTATGTAATTTCTGTCCTTGTAGACAGAGTTTGTTAAACGCAAAATAATAAAAGAATAATGTACTTTTTTTTCACAGGACTTTACAGTTGCCTCCTTACGGGATGTCACTACAGTTGGTCACCATAATTTGACTGGGGACAAGCCTTTGGATACTCTCAGAGGGGTCTTTTACTATCAGCAGTTTAGAGGTTGCCAGAAAAAATCCATTCACAGTGTTTTAAGTGGTTAAGCGACCAAAAAACAGCTCATCAGCAGACACCTCACTGTCAGGAGCCAATTTAAAGAAATCTTATGTGCTGACGAAAATGAAAGACACGCTAGAATGGAGAATAGCGCAACATCAGCAGTCATGTACAAGATGTCTCCGAAAAAAAAGCAACTTTGATTCAGTATTCTCCAGATGTTCTATCGGATTTTTTTGAAAGTAAATTTTAAATATGTTTTTAAAGTAGATAAATATTTGAAGTTTATATCCTATTAAAAAAATAAAAGAATGTATTCGGGTGGGGGTGTCGTGGTGGTGAAGAGACAAGTTTGCTCCTGGAGTGTGACCTAAAGCGTGATCAAGCAAAAAGCAAAGATTTAGAAATTTATTACTCAATATTTTGTCGTAAGTCGAACACAAGAAACTAAAATCCAGGTTTTTACTTAAAAGACTGTTGGTTGCGCCTAAAATGGTCAATTTTTCACCAAAACGAAACACAACGTTTAAGTATTGGATCCCTTCCCTACCCTACTGGGTTTTTGTACGGTAAGACGCGTACGCTGATATCATAACCAAATTTTTCTGGCATCGACAGGTATCCATTTTATTTTAGGTATGGGGCTCCGCTGCGCCAAGGACGCTCCACCAACAGTAGCTCCGCTGATCAAACACCAGTCTCCTCGTGTACAGTTAAGACCCGGGAATGAACGATAACTTATTTGCCGTGTGGGAGTACTGATCAGAAAACCATCTATGGGAACTTACATACATTTATTGTTGCTCCATAAAAGGGTTTTTCTGCACCAATATTACAGGACAAAAAAGTAAAAAAGAATAACAATCGTCAACTTAAATAAATATAATGAATGTATAATAATTATTAAATTAACATGATTTGCTTAAATATTATCTAAAAGTACATTGTTTAAAATTGTCTAAACTTGTCTAAAATAGCTTTAAATAAATCAATCAACTAATTAATCAATATATTTCAGGTCACTATTGATTTGGGACTCAAGATCAGCTATGGCAGCAGCAGAAAAGGTAACATTAGTGTCGTCGGCAAACATTCTAGGAGAGCCCACATTCATACAATTTGGTAGATCAGAGGACTGATGACTTTTTTTTATGTCATTTCAGGATTGCACTGTTGCCTCATGAAATGATGTTTCTTTTTCCAGTTTCGAGCAGAAGAATTTCAAGCAAGAAACCCGACTGATCACTTGCGAATCTGGGAATGATTGAGGATCCAGACAATGCACCTCATGTACGTGATGCCCTTTTTAACTACATATGGAGTTAATGGGCTCAGTGTGATGAACAAGGTTGACAACTTCGATGTGCGCCAGTGTTTTCCTGAAGACATCATGCCCATTCTCTTTGATGGAGTTGTCCCTTGTGAGACCAAGCGTTTTTTGAAGGTGCTGATTGATGAAAAACGAAGCTTGACCCTTAAAGAGCTAAACCACAGAATGGAAAGCTTCAATTATGGCTATCTGCATAACAAGGACAAACCAACACCTATTGCCAGGGAGAGGATGGATGGAGGATGCTAAATTAAAACAGAGTAGTTAGTTTCTTTCAATTATTTAATAATCGTACTTAACATATGTTTTCCATTACACAAGAGAAGCAGTGCTCAATACCGAGTAGATAGGTAGATAGATAGATAGATAGATAGGTAGGTAGGTAGGTAGGTAGGTAGGTAGGTAGGTAGGTAGGTAGGTAGAATTTGTCCGCAACAAAACTAGCGAGAGACAGAGTTGTAAACGAACAACAAAGCGACACCAGACCACCCTTTGGAAGACCTCTATTAAACTAGTATCTCTACAATATTAACTTTAGTAAGAATAGTACAACCAGCTGTATATAAAGTCACTATTTCTATGCCACACAGTTGAGGTGGAGATAGCATCANCCTTGTGAGACCAAGCGTTTTTTGAAGGTGCTGATTGATGAAAAACGAAGCTTGACCCTTAAAGAGCTAAACCACAGAATGGAAAGCTTCAATTATGGCTATCTGCATAACAAGGACAAACCAACACCTATTGCCAGGGAGAGGATGGATGGAGGATGCTAAATTAAAACAGAGTAGTTAGTTTCTTTCAATTATTTAATAATCGTACTTAACATATGTTTTCCATTACACAAGAGAAGCAGTGCTCAATACCGAGTAGATAGGTAGATAGATAGATAGATAGATAGGTAGGTAGGTAGGTAGGTAGGTAGGTAGGTAGGTAGGTAGGTAGGTAGAATTTGTCCGCAACAAAACTAGCGAGAGACAGAGTTGTAAACGAACAACAAAGCGACACCAGACCACCCTTTGGAAGACCTCTATTAAACTAGTATCTCTACAATATTAACTTTAGTAAGAATAGTACAACCAGCTGTATATAAAGTCACTATTTCTATGCCACACAGTTGAGGTGGAGATAGCATCAAATTTTAAATCTATAAAATAATCTTCCGTTGTGACATTGATGCAATGACTCCAGTCTTGGTTCCTCAGAAGCGAAGTCAGTTTAAAGGACCACCCGCTTAATTGATTTGGCATAGTTATTCCTTTTATACTTCTAAAAATTATTAACTAGAAAAGGGGCTTGCAGGGTAATAGTAGTCATTGACGCAGACATGAATTTTCAGTATTTTTTTTTCTTTTGAATGTTACAGCATCCCAGATGTGGTGTCTTTTTGGCTTTCTCCCTATATTAATTGGGGACAAAGTTGATGTGGCGATGGAGGAGTGGCGTTGTCTTCGGACTTTGTGGAATATTGTTCAACTCTGTACTACTCCGGCCATCAAAAAAGATGACGTTCCATACTTACGGGTTCTCATAGAGGAACACCATACCCTCTTCAAAAGACTCTACCTGAAGCCTCGATCATACCCAGAATGCACTATGTTATCCACATTCCAGATGACATAGCCAGGTGATTATGAATTCATTATTAGCTTCCTATTTGTCTCCTGCAGTGTAGTAAGAGTTAATTTCGCTTGTTCTCCTTATAATTATAATGTCAATTAAATCTTACTTGTTTTCCTTGTTCTTAAGAGGACTTGTGTTCCTTAATTCCTATTTGCTTATACAGCGCTCAAAAATATTTGTATTCACTCAATCAACATATTTACTATTCCCTCTATAACCTTTACACTTTTTAACATAGGTTTGGACCAGCACGGAACATTTGGACCATGCCATTTGAGGCCAAGCACACTTTTTTCAAGGGAGTGATTTCTAAGAATTTTAAAAACATTCCAAGAACTCTGTCATTTCGTCATCAAAGGTAAATGTATGAATTTTTTCTGAAATACACTAGAGTGTTACTGGTCATATGCCATGGCAGAAGTTTCATTGCACTGTGGCACTAAGAACTTAAATACATTTTCAGGACCTTAAGGACTTGACAAACACTATTTTCATGATGATCAATGTCAAGTGTTAGCTACTATAGTTAATTAATTTGCTAATTTATTTTCAACTTGTAGATAATAACACATTTTTTGGAAGGGAGGAGAGGCCTCTGAAGTGAAACTGGATGTTTTCTTTAACCTGACAAAAGTGACCGCTTGAAATTTGAATTATTAGGGGATTGTTAACATATCCTTGAGTTTTGATTGTTTTATTCAGGAACATGTGCTGGAACCTTTTGACATCAACTGGACATACAACCTCCAAATATCTGTATACAGGAGATGTTGTTGATCCAGGTGAGCGGATCCCATTACCACAGGTTTTCAGAATTAGATGATTCAATTCTGATATTGTAATATAAAAATCAAATTGTCAACAGAAGGTTAAATGTTTGCTGTTTACTATTTATAGGTGACTATGGCATTGATCTAAGACAGCATTTAAGACGGCATCCCCAGGCGCAGCAAATAAGTGATGCTGCAGGGTTTTGGTGATGTCCATGAGAGATTTGTGGGAAGCAGGTAAGTTTGTGTTTCACCTGCAAATCCTCCTTCTGTCT